CTACACGCAGGTGTGTAGTTTGTAGGTTACCCGGTACAGGACTCTGATACAAGGTGACACCTGCTACTAAGTTAACCATTCACATTCACAATGTGGGGCTCCGATCTCGCCCAAGAATACTTCTGACTGGAGGATTCAAGGATCAAAGTGCCAATCTCCCAATTATTGATGACCGATTCTTTCTTCTGAGTCACAGTTGCCCCAACAAAGGCCACATGCCATCAAGGCCATAAGTTAAAAAAAACTGCAATTTTGGTCTGCCTTGAATAGACAGATCTTTTTCCAAAAGTGTTAATTCAAAACCATAACCATAGAGTTGACAGATCAGAGTGTGTTTAGGGAAAAGTCATAGGGGTTGTTGGGATGACACTGACAAGCAATGTTCTTTGTCATTTAGATATGAAGAGAGAGACTTCACGCCCATCCGAGTTCTTTCCAGCTTGGGTTCACTGATCTCCATCCATCCATCCCCCCTCCCTGCTGGGTCATCCAGTCCGCCCAGCATGCCATAATGTAACTTCATCTCACCACCATCTTCCAGAGGTGCTCCAACAAATCATTTACCCATCACATGAGGCCTGCTCTTTTACTGGGACCCAGGAGTTATAAAATCTAACTTAATTAAATTACTCATATTTACCAACTGAGCCTGTCTGCACTGCTTTATAGCAGAAGACACCAAAGGGACACCAAAAGAAAAAGATCAAACATAGATGAGTCACCACTGTTTAAGAGTGTTTAAATTAAAAACTTCACTTTCCGTGGGTGGAGAAGCAGACATACCGAAACCACAATTTCATTTGTGCAAATGTACACCATGTCAGTGAGTGGAGAGTGGTTTCCTTTCCTGTTACTTTGTGATTGTAGCTGACAAGTGTGTTTTGGATAATTATCCTATGCAGCTTTATGAGACCGCCGTTAGATGACTGGGACATTGTGTTTGATTTTTAGCAAACTGCCCCCACAGACTGCACTGACAGACAGACTAAACTTTCTCCATCAGATATCGTCTATAAAAGCAAAACACACTGGCTCAGTGATTTAAGCTTCTCAGGTGAGATCTCATTGAATTTATAGGATGTGGATACTTGGTTTAGTTCAACAATTAAAGGGCTGAACATGTTAAGTCTGGGTCTCACTTTCACAATCCTTCATGTCCACTTTAATCTCCTTCAAACTCACATGCTGATGATGTGGTTTTTGGACCCAAAAGCAGCACAACAGAGACCAGTTGGTTATGACGTCAATTGTTATTTCTCAGCAGGTACAGAGCAGTGAAGTCTCTCTACAAAGTCCTCAGCAGCTTGGCTGGTTTGGCAGGCCGAGCTGTGCCAAGAGGCGGATGAGGGAGTGGCAGCATTAGCCCAACAACTAATACAGTTCAGGTCAATAACAGACAAAGGCACCATGGAAGAGCAGGCAGGGGACGAAGATGTGGAGGCAGAAGAACCAGGTAAGCACACAGTCCAAGCAGGCGAACCAGTAGAGAACAGGCAGAAGGTAGATCGAGAAACCAGCAGGTAAGTACTCACAGGATGCACACACAGTGGCGAGTGTGGCAACACGGTGAAAATCTCTCAAACGTGGGAAACCACAGGTAAGATGACTGGAACACTCGCACTGTAGCGTTGTCGTCTGAAGGTAATGCCAAGCAGAACCAAGGACGTGGAAGCAGGTCTCGTGGTCAGGGAAAGAAGGCTAAGACGTTCACCGTGAGTCAGACATGGTGTGGAACTGACGCCATCCAGCAGCGTATTGTACCGCCGTGAAAGGATGACCTTTTTTTGTTGGTATCTGTAACCAAGCGGTGGTATTTGACGACTTCAGAATGAGAACGGGTTGAGAAAAAGCAAACCTGGTTGTGATGTAGTGGGTCATCTCTGTTTCCAGCGTATTTTTAGCCAACAAACGTGGGTGTTTTCCAGTAACCTGTTGCGTCTGTTTTTCCACTGGGCATTGTTTTCCCAAAACTGTGTATTTTAGTGCCATGAAAGCGATTGTTTTTCTTGACTAAGACATCACTGCATTTCCTGCCAGGAAGAGCCACAAAAAGCAATTGTTTTTTAATAGACACCACTGTGTTTCCAGCTGGGATTGTGCACCAACACAGGGTATTTGAAGCCAAAACATGATCTTGTTCTAACCATAACTAAGTGGTTTGTGTGCTTAAACCCAACCACACATTAACCACAAACGTAAAGAAGCATTAAGTCAGCAGAAACATACATTGCAAACATTTTTTTTCTGACAGTTGGGTTAGTTGGTAAAACTCTTTTTTTAGTAAGATCAATTTATATTTGTTTTGTTCTTTTCATGAGATTGTTGGCGATAATAATAAAACCATAAAATGTCACCAGTCTTATCCTCAAAGCCACCCCCCAGAATGAAAATAAATACCAAAAAAAAATGGCAAAAAGACCAAAATAGTAGTCATGGAACATGAATTAGTCTCACATAGCCAGACCTATTGAGTGGTGTTACACCCTGAGGTCCCCATGTTTTCCGTGTTTTCAGTTTTTGTCAGTATTTCCTGTTTTATTTTGATACTCAACCTTGTCTCTCGTTTCAGGTACTTAACTTGCTGCCCCTGTGTGTTTCCCTCCTGTGTGATTGCCCGCCCCGCCCTGATTGGTTTCACCCGTCCCTCATTTCCCCTCCTCCCTTGCGTATTTAGGCCTTGTGCTGCCCTTTGTATGTTGCCAGTTCATTCTCAGTTGTTTGAGTGTGTGTTCTTGCCATTTTCCCAAATGTTCTCTGTGGATTTGACCAGATTTTTTGCATTTTTTGACCCTGCTTAAGCCAACTGCCTTTGGGTACCTTTGTTGTGTTTTTTTGGACTGGTTACCTGTGCGGTGACTCCTTTTTTCACTATAAAGACCTTGTGTATTTGAGTCCAGCATCTGAGTCCTTTCCTTGTGGGCTTCAGTCTATTTAGTGTTGGTGGAAGGTATGGTTGGACCCACCATAATACCGCTCTAAAGGCCCTGACACACCAAGCCGACGGTCGGCCGTCGACCAAAGTCGGGCTGTTGGTGAGCGTCTGTTGGCCTAGTTTTTGTGGTGTGTCCTGCACCGTTGGCCCTTCGGCGTTGGTGGCTTTTAGGCCGATTGAGCGAGTTGAATCAGCGGCGGAACTAGTCAGTGAGAGAGATCACTCTGATTGGCTGTTTAGGTTTTATTTCCTCCCCCCTGTAGCGAGTGAATCTGCCTGTATTGAAACCAGGGCTAACCAGTGCTTCCTCCTCAGGCTCCACTTCACTCAGCTGCCCGACAGATCCGCTGCTTCTTCCCACTTTAACCTGAATAACAAACCAGGGCTAGCTGGGAGCGGCTAGCGGAGCGTTAGCCGCAGCATGACCGGAGGGAAGCACAGCCAGTTAGCCTCCGCTAGCTTCCCATGAATCCAAATGTTAAGTGTCCCTGGCCCCCGTCAAAAAAGACACTTGTCTGCTGGCCCATGCCAAGCACCATCAAAAGACACTTGCCATCTGGCCTCTCAAGTAATTTGCACATTACTTACTTACATGGGCCATTGATGAATTGTTTCCACCTTCGTCTGTCTTGGGCCTTCCTCTTTTTGCACATACTGTAGGTGAAAATGTAGTTAGCTAGCTCACATTAGCTTTGGTACTGTTTCATGTCTAATGTTGATCTTTGATGTTATGATGAAGAAGAGATAGACATAGTGGGAGATTATTCATATCTCTGTTGTATCCACCTTATTTTCAAACACGGAAGTAAATAGTGATCAACTTCCGTTTTTTGTGCGTGACTTCTGGTCAGCCGCTTTCCCTCATGCTTTCCCTTACCGGAGCTAACGGTGCAAGCTAATTTTTTTTCAATTTTCAGTTGTTTATGTTAGTCAATCAGTTAGTTAGTTAGTCTGTGTATTTTGTATAAATAACTGTGCCCACGTTTCCGTTATAACGGAAATTTATTCCCTCTAAACGCGAATAAATCGCACGTCAATCATAAACTATGAACCAAAAAAGCACAATCTATCCCGAGTGAGACAAACTGCTTGATCCCCGTCTCCAGTGTACCAGCAGAGAACCTGCAGAACCGAATCAGCGAAAAAACACACCGGGCTACACAGCCTCTCTACCTGAGCAGCTGAAGCTGCGGCTCGCACCCTCGACACACAGACACACAGACGGTGCTTCTGCATGCCAGCCAAACGTGTGCGCAACTGTGAGAAATAAATATGTGAGGTGTACACTGCTTTTCTTATTTGTTAATTTGCACAAACCTGTGCAGAAAGTAACTTGTACTTTGAGTAATTCATTCACTTTTTACTCTTACTTGAGTAGGTCTCTTAAATGGTAATTCTAATTTTTACTTGAGTCACTTTTTTGTGGGAGTATAATTGGACTTTTTCCATGAGTACAGAGTTTCAGTTCTCTACCCACCACAGGTAGCCAGGCCTCATGGGGTTTTTAAAGTTTTTAACTCACCCTTCAAATCAAAGGATGCATACAAGCTAATGTTACACCACAAAAATCTGTGTGATTATGTGTATAGTGCAAACCATCCTCATCCATCCAAACATATATCAGTGTGGACCTTTCAACCCGCATGTAGGTCAAACCCTTGGGGGGATGGTGTCCAAGTCTGAGAGACGTCTGTCCAACAATGCATCAGGCTTACGGGGGCAGGCGCAGGCCAAGCTGGGTGTGTTATTACAGGACAGCCGGGACAACGGAGCTTGAATCAGCAGAATACCAAAATGGATGAATGAATGTGTTTTCATGTTTGAGTTGAAGAAGAGCTGAGGTATCAAGACTGTCTCATCTCATGTGATGGAAGAGTGCGTGGCACAGCAAAAAAACTGCTGTAACAGATACTGCCTGAGCAAAGGGAGATGTTCAAGAGACAACAGATATCCATCCAGTCAGTCATTGAACCATGTGGGATAGACCTACAGAGGGAAAGTAATATTTACCTGTTGTCTTAATGTTAAATATCTGGATGATATCAGACAATCATGATTCAGCATATACTTATATTCATATATATACTTTATTTTATACAGCTAGATGAATGTATACATAGTATACAATACAAAAGACAAGTGATAAAAAATAACATTATCTGTACATGATGCGAAAGAAAACAAAACTAACTGTACAATACCATCTTTTAGATGGTGCAGTTGGTCCTCTGAACCAAATCAGACTGGAAATTAAGAGTGAAGTCAATTTTTTGTTGAAGGATGTGTTGACATTGTAGCCATCCACTTAAAGGACAACAGTTATCCATTACTCTGTGATGATTTATGGGTTCCATGTGTTGTTTTCTGAAGAATGATGGAATTGGAAATGTTGAAGGTTTTAATCTCTTAGATGGTGAAATTCTTTTCTCTCAGTGAATTTCTGTCTGAACATTGTAAACATGTAAAATGAGTGAGTCCAGACAGACGCCCTTTCCCTTCAAATCTAAGGGTGTGACACCAAAACTGGACATTTATCAGGTATTTTTAAGACTGCTGATCCCTTTCTATTTACAGCATGTTCTCATTCTCATAGCTTCAGTTACAGCAGCTTGGTCAGTGGCCATCAGTGTCTGATTCTGATGCACAAGGCTCCCTTTAGGGTGTGTATGAGATGCACCGGGCTTTCATCTAACTCCAGTGTAAACCCACCCAAGGAAATGACCAACGCATTCCTATCCCAAGTCGTCACATATCACCATTTTGTCAGTGGACTTTCACGTCTACATATTACATGCTAGGTATCCTCCTGCATCTGCTGTTGACGTTCTGGAATTCTGCAACCGATGCCGCAACATCAACAAAAGCACGTGGTTAGGTTTAGAAATAAACATCATGGTTAAATTCAACATTCATATAGGATGTGAACACCGGCCTCCTGGGTGAAAGTCCAGGATTTGTTGGACCCATCCACCACCTCTCCTGCCCACCCTGTAGGGACTTCGGAGCTCCTTATATGATGTAGATACTGGCAGGGATTCAAACTGATACCGTCCTGTGACAGGTGCCATCCGGCCACGTTATGAACTGATGTCACAGGTCCGCCTATCATACTGCTGTGAAAGGTTCCATCTGGCCATGTTACAAACTGACGCTGCCCGGAAGCGTATCATACTGCCATGAAAGGTGACTTTTGGCGTCAGTGTCTGATGCTGAAATCACTGACAAAGCAGCAGTATTGATAACTTCTGAATGGGAGTGGACTGCAATGACGGAAGAAGGGGTGGTGGACAAAGGACTTTTACCCAGGAGACTGCTGTATGTGTCCTGTATGGAACGTTGAGTTTGTTGTTGACATATATCTCTTACATCACATGATTAACTTACTTAAGTTATATAACAGACATACTTATTTTAACCCAAAACATCATGTATTCATTAAATGAAGCCAAGTGGTTTTGTTGCCTAAATCTAAAGTACTTTTGATGACAAAATCTACGTTATTTTGTGAAAATTGAAGTTTACTTCGAAAAGACAGTGTGTGTAACGAACGGGAATTGGCATGCCGTCCATGGGCACCCAAAGCTGGTGTCTGAGGAGTACCTAGAGCATTAAAGTTGAAAGTGTACGGCCACTGACCAAGCTGTTGAGATTAAGAACATGTTGCTATTTAACCACACATATTTCCAGCTGTGTTGAACATGCAGTTTTATCCAGTGGAATGAAAATAATCCCTTTGAAAAACAAAATAAAATGCCAAGATGCAAAGTACAACAATAGGTGTTTGTGTTTTAGGGTGGATTGTCCCTTTAATTTCACCATGGATGTGTTTCCTATTGAAGATATTTCTTATTCTGAAGCAGTTCACTGATGAGAGTAACTGTAACACCTCAGAAAACGATCACACCTAATACATTATGATGGCTGAGGCAGTATAATGATGGGCTGACATATAGCATTGCGTCTGCACATTAAGAGTTAAAAGTGATGGAGCAGCCACGCAGCAGATAGAAGCCTGTGAATGTTGAGGAAATGCCATCAACCACCAGAGCAACAAAGCAAATGTTCACTTTATTTGGCAGAATACTAAAGAACGCTGACGTTACTGCTGTATGCAAGGATTTGATTGGCTGTATCGAAATAAGATCTTTATCTACATAAATGGATACTGAACAAGACTAAATTAATTGAATTAATGCAAAGCTAGGGGGCACCATTGTGAATATTAAAGGGATAATTCTTTCCCCAATGGAACACAGCACAAGTGATTTTCAGAGCCAACTTCTCGTGCACTGTTCATATATATATATAGAGTAAATTAGGAAGTGGCCCATGAGCAGTCCAATTAGGAGGCAGGTCACAAAATGTAGGACTTTCCCTCAGGAGACCAGCGCTCAGAATCGTGTGAACTTTGAGTCATTTTGAGGGACGTCTTCTTCGTGTTTCTTTTCCTAAACTTAACCACTGTAACTTTACCTGCCTAAGCCTAACCTCCTTAACTTTACGTTAAGTATGTAACGTCATTTGTGGGGTCGTAATTCGTAGGATATCATAAGAACCATCACGTGTGCAGAGCAGATATGCATGCTGAAGACAAAATTTAAAAAAAAAAAAAGTTCAATCAGAGAGGTGTCTCTCACAATATTAAGGCTGCTTTGAAGGTTATAATTCTTTGGCAACAGAGAACAAACAGCTGAGTGTTGGCTTGTTTGGTTTAGACACAGCGGACACAGACGCGTTATGATTGCACCATACAAATAGCCTACATTCACTGCATGAAATATGCTTAGCGCTAAACTAGTTTTACTTTAATAAAAAAATATTTTTACTTTTTTTGGTCATGAGTGACATTAAGGAATTCTTTGATACTGATCAAATTCATGAGGAGTGAATCAAGTGTGTTGGATATATTGTTGACTGTTTTTCATTTTGGAAGGATGAATAACTTGTAAAGCTATGATGTGACTCTAACTGGCAGTGGGATTGGCTGCTGGCTTTGATTATTCTACATTAGCCAACAACAGCCAAAAGCACTGACTCAAGAAAAAAATACAATGACAAACTGCATGGATCAATCAGGTCTTGAATGTTGCATGAATGATACAGTACTGTGTGTTCACATTTAGATTAGTTCTTCAGTAACATGAGAAAAATGTCAATTCACAGGTGAGATATTTGCTTCTGATAACTGCACAGTGTGATCGCCGAGGTTGTACGTCAACGAGCTTTATCTGTTTGTCCTGGACTTCCATTTCTTTCTGCCATGCACATTTACTATACCAAGAAATTATGTTTGTGTGCAGATGTGTGTGATCACTGTCTCTGAATCTTCCTCCTCTGTTGCTCTCTGTATATGCTCAGGCATTGTATCATCTTTCCTGGTAGAGGTAGACTAACCACGAGTCAAACCTGAGGCAGATGGTTTGACAGTTTACGTGAAGACAGCTTTTCTTCTTTTCTCTCATCCAAACAGATGTCTGTCTTTTCAAACAATGGATGGAGACCCTCTCTGTCTCCATTGGCTTTCTTCCGTGTAGCAGACGTCCCTTCAGACGTGGTCAGGCTGCATTTGAGAGTATTTTCACCCAACACAGCCATGGGATCATTATCATGCTGATTTGGGTTCTAGTTCATCTCAAATCTTCACCTGACTGACAAAAAGAAGTCCTCGGGCTGTGTCTCTTCTGCTCTAACATGGCTTCAGATTGCAGAGGTCCAGTTCCTGAGGCTTCCTCCTTCCAGAGCAGTGCTCTCTGGGTAGATTCAGACCAGTTTCGGTCATGCAGCGCACTGGCCGCCTTTTAAAGCCCCTTCCGCAGGACTTGGAGCAGTGAGACCAGCCCCCTACATCCCACATGGGACATGGATCCCCACATGCTCTCACCGCTACAGGCCTGTCAGCACTGTCACAGTCCACTGCAGGACGCCCCTCCATACTCTGGCACTGCACCAGTCTCTTCTGCAGACCATTCCCACAAGTCACCGTGCAAGTATCCCAACTTCCTGTCACCCAATGACTGACTGGCCTCTTACCCATCATCTGCTTCTTGGCCTCTACCCTATTACTGTCCGCCAAGACACTATTATGAGCTGAGTGGCTTCTCTCCTCTTTCCGCAGAGTCTTCTCCTCCTTGCTCTCCTTGGAGATGTAGAAGGAGTAGCGCACCCTGGGAGGGGTCATCTTCCCTACTGAGAGCACCTCCACAGTCAGAGGCTCCTGCAGGGGTCTGGTGGCCTGAAGAATCTCCACAGATGTGGAAGTGCCGCTGTAGCGCAGCAAGCTGCCCTTCACCAGCAAGTCACGCTCCACGGCTGACACCACATAGTTGCCGTTGAGCAGGTACTTGCCTTGCCCATTCTTCACCGCTAAGTAGTTTTCATCGCTGACCATTCCTCGGTAGCCACGTTGACGGACGTCAATGTTGGAAGCTCCAACGGGCAGCATCACCACAAAGTTGTAGCCATGACTGAAAAGAGAGTTTGGAGATGTAGAACATTAATGATGCTGAAAGGCCAGTGGTTATTCTTTTAAGAAAATGGATGTTAATGTATTCTCAAACATCATCAGCGTAAAGGATTCCAGAGAGAGTAGATCACAGCTTGTCACTATATGTCGACACCATCTTGTTGAGTCTTTGTACCCATAATAATGTGACCATGTTGAAAGTGATTTGTTGCATCTATAATCACAAGTGGTCTTTGCGCTAGCTCTGACTATTAAGGCCAAATTCTCCTGAGAAGTACATAATGCAACAAGGATTGGGAAATAGCTGTTTGCTTTCTTACCCAGAGTCAAATGAGAACAATTTAATTTATCTACTTGTAATATGTCCAGAACATGTTTAGCCTAGCTTAGCAGAAGGGATGTAAGCAGAGGGAAACATCTAGCCTCCATCAAAAGAGTGCCATCCAAAAACTCTGAAAACTTCTTACTTACATGTTTTAACTCAAAAGCCTGCCACCAATATATTCAGAAGTGATGCTCCAATGTGCAAAGTAGCTCATTTGACTACGATGTTTTGTATTTGTGCGTTTAATACAGAAGATACATTGTGGAAAAACTAGAATTACTGCCTTGCAATTGTATGCCTTCGTGCACCAGTCAAGTTTCTCTTACAGTTCACATCCATATCTGTGAAATCATGGATGCTTCACACACAGAAGATCTATACAATCAGTACAGTTTCAAGGTGGACACCCAAGATGAGGATCACGGATATTTCCATTAATATATTAGAAGTCATTCCCTACTTATGGGACATGCTGCTAAAGTATGACCCCAAACTCTGACCCCAAGTGCCGTCCATCGAGACCTATCTCAAAGCTATTCCTAATGCTTCATTTATAGCTCTGCATTAAGCCTGTGCATACTTGTGGTGCCTGTGTGTGTTTAGGCTTTTTGGGTGCGACAGTTACAATGATACTTGAGATTACTGTGATTGGTCAGCGTTTGTTGCTTGTTTGTTCTTTTACACCCATCTAACAAAGACATCGTCCCCACAGATCTTATACTAACCGCAATCAAAACTTGACATTGACATTAACCTTGACCTATCCCCGCACTTTTAATAAGAGATGCAGTATGTCCTGACGTGCTGCTTACATAGGTTTGGTGAACATTCCTGAGACCTTCTTGCAGCCCTGGTTGTCGCCGCCACACACGCCGCACTTGTCAAACTTCCTGTTGGAGTCCAGCTTGCCGTCACAGCCTGCCTTGATGCATTTTCCTTGAACACATACAGCTGAGGTGTCAGGAGAGCAGGGCGTCCCATCCACAACCTGCAGGGTTTGAAACATAACATTACACCTATCTTCAGGTGGATAACAGGAACACAGAGAAAAAGACATAAGTGGTTGCAACATATATGGTCTACCATCCTTTGTCAAACTAAACATAAATTTGAAAGTCAAAAGTAAAACCATAGGGAGAGTACAGTGTCCTTTAATGTAAATGAGACGTTGGCTTGTATTGTGGCTACAAGCTTGTTTCTTTTCTGGTTGCATAAATAGTTGCTGACAAGCCACAGCTGTGAAGTGATACTGTCCCTGCATGTTTCCCTTTCTCACCACTCCATCCATCCTGCAGCAGCAGCAGCAGCAGCCGTTCTCTCTGCTGCCAATAACACATCACCTCTCACTGCTTTGCTGCTGACGAAACAAGCAGGTAGTACTTGCATTGCGGATAAGGGTCGAATCATACCAGGCAGTTAGACACAAAACCTTTGTGAACAGAGTGCTGTTCGATATTTCTACCCAAATGTTTCAACTACGCCTCCCATAAGGTTCTGACTCCTGATGAGGTGTTAAATGACAAGGAGTTCAGACTGCATTAGCAAGTGCACAGTTGTTACCCATTTAGCTCAGAATATTAACAGAATTCCCCGATGTCATGTCTGAGCTTTTTAGACGGATCTAAGTGCGGTTGTTTTTCATTCACAGCCTCATAATGAAAGCTGACAGTTTTGCTCTATGTATCGTTTACGGGCTGCGACCACATATGCGCCGCAGCTAACAATTATCAGTCTCAAGTCAGCCTCCAGATGGTTGGGTAATTATGTTTTGCTGCCGGTAATGTGAAAGCAGTCAATATGTCATTTGGCTAGAAGAAGTTTCTCCACTTTTCTAACACATAGCCCACAAGGGTGTCTAATAAATATAATTTATGGTCTTGAACTAATTCCACTTTTTAAGCGATTAGGAAAAGAGAACAGTTCATTAAAACAGATACAGCTGGATGATGTGTTTGCTATGAGGATAAGACGGTTAAATGAACATAGCAAGTTGGCTACGAACCTTTGGAGCGAGCACGTAGAAGTACCCGGTCCCATTGGCACGACAGATGAGCTTGCATTTGTCCTTGGGAGAGATGCCGGAATATTTGGGGACCCAAACCACAGAGGAACCCAGCCTGTTGGTGTTCAGGTTGAGGCCATTGAACGCCTCACACTGCTCCTCACGGAAACTCTTACCTGAGGATGTAAAAACAATCTTAGATTAGATGGACTGTTCGTTAAGTCCTGACCCAGTCGCTATGAATTTTACGCCTTTTGTTCTCACGCAGCATGTGTGCGTTTCACAATAAAAATTGAGTCTGATCTTCTCAGTGAAATTCTTTTAAACAATAGTTCCTAGATTTCAGACAGAGACAGACAACAGCAGCTGTAATTATACTGAATGAAATAACAACATATGTCATGATCCTGGGTTTGTTTTTACTCTGTTATCATATGGACTTTGTTTTGCTTTGTTATGTGTCCCTTGTTTTATGTTGTTCTCTGTTTTATTTTGTAGGTTATCTCCTCATGTGTCATGTCTGGTTTTACTTCCTGTCTTTGTGTGTTTTCCCGCCTGTTTTCTGTCACACCTGTCTCATTAGTCCTTCCCTGTTCCCAGGGTGCGTCTCAAGTCTCTTATTTTTATAGTGCTACTGCTAGCTCCTCGCTTGAACTGGAAGTCGTTCGAGGTCCGCCATCTTCTAGGCTGTCCCAAGTCTCTTATTTGTGCAGCGAGTAGCTAGCGCTAGGAGCTAGCAGCAAGCTTTAAGCAGCTACGAGCTAGGATGGTCGAGAGCTTCCTATCCGGAAGAGTTTTTCAGCTGAACGCCATGACGTATAAATACCCGCCCCCGCGGAGAAACAGTACAAGAGTTAGTACCCTTTACATGCATTCTTTGCAATGAATTGCTGTAATTCATGTACCTACTTCAAAGAGTAATGATATTTCATGAAAGATTGTTATGTTGCAATTAGGTTTATTTCAGTCACAACCCGTTGCGTTGTTCATCGGACTGCCGGTGATGTGCGGCTGCTACATGCAAAAGTGTGTGACCAGAGTCATGACGGCGGGGGGTGGGGGCTACTGTTTTGGTCAGCGAATATAATGAGACTTGGGATGTACCCATAGTAACGCCAGGCGCTGGCTGCTTTACGGAGCAGATCCAGCGGTGCCGCCGTCATCAGGAATGGACGTCGCTTCACATGACGCTTCAGTGGAAAGGACGTCTCATGTCTCTTAAACCGACAATGCTCGATCATCGCTCCTAGCGCTAGCTCCTAACATTTTTTCCTAGGTGGGAGGGGCTAAACAGCAAGCAAAGTCAGCTAGGTAAGATAACTAGCAGTAATTTAAGAGACTTGGGACGGACCCCCAGAGTCTTCCCTTCACACCTGTTTTGTGTTAGTCTTGTTTGCTCCACCCTAGTGTTCCCCTCCACACCCTTGTTGTTAGCCAATCTCCATTTTTTTATCGGCTGAATTAAAGCTTGCTTTCTATTAAAACCTCAGTCGCCCTGTTAACCTGCATTTGGGTCCTCCTTGAACTGCTACGTGACAATCTGTTGCTGACAGATTTTATCAGCTGTAGCTACTGAGCTCATTAAACCAATATTAACTCCATGGGTTGGTTATCAACACTGCTCCTGCTGACTCATTTGTAAAGGGGTCTCCTGAGCTTACAGACTTGTTTGCATTTTCAAACAGTATGTTTCACTATTAACTGTGTGAGAAAAGGATGCGTTCATCGAACGTATAGCGCATCTCATCTGGGGTAACTTTGGCTGAGTTTCTCAGAATGTTTACTTTCCCAAAACCACCGAAGAGAAGGACACAGGTGTTAAAAAGTAACCTGATATCATCCAGGCAGAAGGTGATTTGTTAATTTTTAACAAGAGTCTGTCAAGTCTTGATTAAAAGATTTGTTTTTGCTGTTGACTGTTCTTTCTCTAGAACATTAGTTTGGAGAAAGGTATTCGCACATCAAACTGTCTCAGATGCAGCTTCATTGGAAAATATCAATGAGTCTTTGAACAGAGTGTTGAACACTCTTGACGAAGGTCCAGGAGGACTGAAACATTAGTGTAAACTAATAAATTGTGCAGCTGAGCAAGAGCAGTGTGCAGGATTCTCTGTTCAAAGACTCTCTAGAACATACCATGTGAAATTACTTTTCTCTGACTCACTTATTTCCCTGACTGTTGTCTCCCATCTCGTCTCTCCTGTGTGTGCGTATCTCACTCGCTTAAGTCTCAGTGCTTATCCGAATGCACAGATTTGATTGGCACAGATTTGATTGGCAGAGTAGCTGGGGTTGCCAGTGGCAGTTAGCCTTGTACATATTCTCACTCACTCATCCCAGCCATTAGTAATTGTTTTCCTATTCTCTTCTGTAATGTCTTCTTTTTTTGCTGGTGGACTATGCGCATAGGTTGCCATTTTTACATATCACACTACTATCACTCATGTTGCTATGATACTATGATAGCAGCCACTCTTTGGATGTGAGGATATTCTCTGTTTGAGTAGGGGAACATAACATTACAGGTTGAGGGTTGACAGGTCAGGAGGGCTTACTAATATTTCATACAAACCACTGTTAATAGTCTAACCTGTCATATTTCTCTGCCATACTACTGACTTGATTTTCAAAAATACAAAAAAAGTGTCCTTTATCAGCTCATTACAAAACACGTCTTTTAGGGTGCTTTAACACCTGCCTTGTTTGGCTTGGTCCAATCAAACTCAAGTTCATTTGCCCCCTCAGTGCGGTTCCTTTGTGCAGGTGTGAACACAGCAATCACACTCAGGTGTGCACAAAAACAACCGGACCGAGACCTTCTTGAAGAGGTGGTCTCAGTCTGGTTACAAACGAACTCTGGTGCGGTTGGTTTGTGGTGAGAACGTGTTCCGACCTCGATCCGAGCCAACTGCAGTCACATGACACATTGTTTGGGTTAAACATGAGTATATTACAGTCCTGGAGGATTATTAATATGTGCCTCCTCCTGTACTGCCTTAATATGCTCATTCAGCGCATCCAATCAAAACATCAAAACCTTGACCTACTGTGCCTAGAGTTACGGATGCCAAGGTGCGATTGGAAAATTGCTGTTTCGGGCAGAGGTTTAGTGAATGATCAGTTAAAGCCCTTAAGGAGTGTCTCCCTGTGTGAATGTACTCAAACAAAGACAGGTATACCTGTTTCAGGACAAGGGTTGAGGTTACAGGAGCGATATTTGATGCGAAGGCCGTAGCAGTATTTGCCTCCATTCTCAGGAACAGGGTTGTTACAGTCTCTCTTGGCCAGCTGAACTCCTCCACCACAACTTCGGGAGCAGTCTCCAAACGCACCCCACTTCCCCCATCGCCCATCCACCTGGGACAAAAGAAAAACAATGTCACATCAGTCTGTAATAAAAAAGACCACGGAGGAGAAGGCTTTCTTTCCACACTCTGTTACCTTGATGTGCATGGTGCTGTTCTTATCGGAGCAGACTCCTTGGTAGCAGACCTTGCCGTTGCCACAGCTGGTGCCGTCCGCCCAGGGGAAGTGTCGGGTTTGGCAGACCAGCTGGCCACGGGCCTTCCCCGTGCACCACAGCTTGGAGCAGGGCTGCATGTACGGGCAGGGCTTAGAGCCGGGGCCAAAGGCGAGCTCACACTGGCGGTGCAGGCTGTAGCTGGAACCAGGCAGGTTGTCTGAGAGAGACAGCTGCCTTTGAGGCTGGTCCAGCAGACAGTCGCCTACAGAAGCAAACCAACAGCATTACAAACACTGTAGCTGCATTCTCTCATATGGATATTGAAAATGAGATGACTTGATGCAGCCTATTTAAATTACCCATAGGTCACGGTCTAAAGATCATGGCACATGTGCATTTAGGGTATGTCCAACTCCACTTTGCTAGTTAAACGGATCATAATCTGGGCACTGAGTAGAATGCAAGGGGCAAAGAGGTTGTATTTACTCCCTTAATTAATCATAGGTGTGTTTTTGGCAAAACATGACCCCAACCAATCAGTGTCATCTCGCATTCCCTTTAAAAGCCACGCCACCTAGCACACTGCTACTACTGCTACTGCACAATCACCTTCTGCTGCACTGAAAAAGAAATACGCCTCCAGTGCACCTGACCACATCTGATTTTCAGACCTACATGCCCATGGGCTCACAGATCGGTGCAAGTATATTTGCTACTTACACAACGTGGACGCTGGTCGCGCAAAGGACAACTGTGTCGTTCTGGAACTAGCAACAACAGTTGCACTGCGCCATTTGAGGTGTTGGCGGTGTTAGTTAAGGCCGTATAAAGTCAACCTACTATCAATAATTAAGAACATATCAAGGATTAAAGGACTTATGTCTCAGTAGGATTTTGAAAAACTCGCCCATGCATTTATCTTCAGCAGACCTAACTACTGCAACAGTGGGTTTCATTCATGAAATGCACATGAAAAATCTTGGCACTAAAAACCTACACCGGATTCATGAACGCTGCGGAAAACTTGGATTTGATCGTAGGCATGTGTTCATGAATGCCAATCAGTTGTAAATTGACAGCGCACTCCTGCTAGTCAGCGATTAGCGTACATTCCCGCCCATGAATAGCCAATGATCACCATATATGGAGGTGATAATTACTATGGACAGGTGCATCCTGTCGACTTGTGAACATGGAGGAAACAAAGGAAGGGAAACAGAGAAAAAAAACTTGTCCGGCGCTGAGTATGAAGTAATTTTGGTAGCGATGTGTCAGAGACAGGTAAATCAAACGCCTCTTAGATGAGAGGTGAAACGTCTTCAAGAAACTCAAGCAAGTCCAGGTGCCTACGATATAGGCCTCTGCGGACATTTTGGTCCCCAGATTTTGCTGCTCACTGAGCACTCTTGACTTTCACATTACTCTTTGGTACAGGCAGCTGCAGAGGTGATGCAGCAGCACAGAAAGGGAAAGGCTTTTAACCATAAGGCTTCAAGATAAAATTATCTTCTCTCTTCTACTTGGAGCTACTACCTGTCTATATGAGACGATGCAGGCACCGGATGATGTTTAGATTGAGCCAATGACTCACGTAGAAAAAACAGCGGTGTTAGCTTTCAGATTGTTAAACTCAGTAAATGCTCATTTGCTTGTTACAGTCAGTGTGGTGGTCTATTACACAGAATCCACTCACAGTCATTTACAGGAGTTTACACACAGACTGAAAAAGACTTGGCATGAAGGAGCTCCCGAGGAGAAAAAGCCAAATGATATATAAATACACTTCTGAATGTTATAGCGAATGTGGATACTGCATGTCATCATCAGCATATGGTATTACACCCCAATAGAAAAGACTTCCTTGGATACACTTGTGGATAATGATTGTTGCTCTCCAGTGTAATTCAGCCATGAAGTGCTTCACATGTGTGCATTTCTTTTGGATGCATTGCAGTCTATTGAAGCTAGTGAGAATCTGGTGTGTGACACTGATACAATGAATTTCTCCCTTTCTGACTCAGACATCTTACATTGTGAAGTGTGTTTAAAAGTGTTGACCCTACTCTGACTTTGCTATTCCAAGGCCAGTTTCATGAGGATTATATGCACAGATTATGAAAAAAAGACACTCAAGAATAAGACCCTGATCACACAGAAAGCATTTTAGCAGCTGGAGGCGGCTTTTTGTAATTGTTCTTAATGAGAATGAAGTGTTTTGCTCGCTGTTTTTGTGTTGCAACACCCCACATCATCTCTTTTTTCAACAACTTTTTTCCCGTTGTCCAATCGGATGATTTGAGATGCGGCTGGCCTTCTGTGGTGGTCACGACAGCAAGTTTACAGTTAGTTAACAGTGGAGGAGAAACTGGTGGTCGCAGCTGCTGGACACCCAGAGCTATACGGCCGGACGATTACGCCTGGAAACGGTCATCGTGGAGGAGAAGCTCCTGGACCAACGGGTGGTACTCCCCATGACCAACCCTCTTTATTAGGGTCACATATACCCACACATGCTGACGGCCTCTCACCCTCAACCAGAGCTACAGACAGTACCCTCTGCCTCAACATTTTGGGAACTAGATACTAATTACTGTCAAATAACTTTGCCTGGCAACAATAAAAATCGAGGCCTCTATAAGAGTACAACATAAATCAAGTATGTGTGATCACTTCCAAGCTGAAATGGAATTTGCAAACGTGACCATGACAAAATAGAGCCAAGGTCTGTTTTTTGTGGGCACAATTAGATTACATCCAGCTGAGAGCATGAGGCCTGGACAGAATTAGTGGTCTATCTGAGTCCAGAGACATATACAGGAAGTGTTTACTAACCATGACCTCTGTCCAGGAACTCGGTAATGATGGCTGCACTGCACACAGACCAGGGCCTGCTCCTGTCGATCTGAATCAGCGTGGGAGACATCATGTGGTTGTCCTTTAGTTTCCCAAATACCTCCTCACATGCCTTCACATTGTCGTGGGGCATGTTGAAGACGTGGCCTGAGGGGGCGAGGGGAGGGTGGGAAAACAGACAGAAGGTCACGGCTTTGTTAGAATAAAGTATTTTCAGCCGCCCATGGTTTAAAACACAATAAGCGGCTAGTGCTGTGCAGATATGTTTCCAGAGTGATAATTATTAACACACAGAGACGGTTTTCACCAGACATCACAACACACATGTATGTATAGGGCCAGCAGACTCCACTTGGGCTGATTTGAAGCTGATGTCATAGCAGACAGGAATGCAGTTATGCATGGGAATATACAGCGTGGCATATGTCCATGTTCTAAACCAGGCCTGACAGGGGAATTTAGTTCCCAAGGAAATAATTCCATTCCCTAAATATATAGTGCTTTCCAAAAAGGAAAAAAAAGACTTAAAAAAACTGTGTTTGAGCATATTCAATCAAGAGACAGGACCATTTTGAGAGGAAATTATGTAATTACTTAACATATATGAGGACAGCGTAAACCAATGCCTCTCATGGGGCCTTAGGAGTTACTTGTGTATCTGGTTTCAAGCCTGAGTCCTGCATCTTTTAAAGCTTTCTCAGTCACTGATTATTGAAAAATGGGTGGAGAAATGTCACCTGCATTATTAATTGGATTTGTCAGACAGTTTTAGGAGTGTGTTAAACTCAGGTTTCGGCCACGCAGTTTAATACCATGCATTGAAATCTATCAAAAAATGTTCAGTTTTCACCTTTCACTGACTGAAACAGGTCATTTAAAGCTGCAGTAAGATTTTTTTGGGCAAAAACTACAACTAAAATAACCATCTAAATCACTGATACTTGAGGAGTAGAGAAAAATGGCGTTGCAGTCAGGGGTGCATTATCATACAATGGACCCCTGGGCAAAGATATGCTAAAGGCCCCCAATCTCTCCTACATTGGAGCAAGATACACACTTTGTAGTTGATTAGCCTCATTTTGTGTCGTTGTGTTGCATCTGTTAGTTGTCATAACACATCTTTTTGTGGTTTTGTGTCTCTTTGTAGTTGTTTTGTTTCTCTTTGAGTTAATTTTGTGTCTTTATTGGTTGTTTCTTGTTCCTTTGTGGTTGTTTTGCCCCTTTTTGTAGTCATTTTGTGTCTCTCTGGAGTTTTTTTTCATCTCTTTGTGGTCATGTTGAATCTCTTCTTGGTGCTAATTTGATTAGCATTTTGCAGGTGCGACCAGGGGGGCCTCGCTTACATTTTCACTAATCCTTCCATGGTTGTAGTAGACTTGCCCTTTTTGTCCAAACTACACCTGACACTCCTCTACCCACAAAAAAAAATAGAAATCAAAACTTCTACCTCCAGTAAAAAATCCGATTTAAGACATTCTGATTTACACAACATCTTTGTCTGCTAGCTGAGAAACAGCATATTCACTTACATAGAACAGCTAATGTAACATCAATCAATATCTGATTTAGCTAGCTATCAGAAAAGACGTTTTAGGAAATACACTTGGTTGGCTCTTCAAGCATAAGATGACAGATTTGATCAGCCTCTGACTGTGGGTTAAGGAAGAAGCTGGAGCTTGGATGTGCGTTAGCCTAGCTTAGCACAAAGAATAATATGGATGAAAGATGAAGCAGCAGATCATCCCTTCCTTCCAGTCTTTATGCTAATCTAGGCTAACATGCCCTGGCTCCAAGTCTACGCAATGCACAAATATGCAAATCAGTGTATTTACCACAAGGTTAAACTATTTTGGTGCCTTTCCATGGCGACTGCACATGAGTGTGTGCTCAAACACAACAAATGTTATACCTCATAACATACACCTAATGTGGATTGGACATTTTAATGAGATATACAAAGCGTCTCCTAAAGGGCAGTGAATGAGGGCTCTGTCCAGAGAAAACTGGATGTGTCAGAGTCATTTCCTTCGCTTCACTCATCCCTCGTCCTTGCTTCTATTCTCCTTTTCACCAATGCATCACAGACTAGCTGGACTGTTAAAGATAAGTGTGCATTTGTTAGTTTAATGTTATCACATGAAATAATTCACGGTGACTGAACTTCAGATTATTCTAACTCTCACTGGCCATTTGGAGCTGCCAGCGTGCACAGTTATGTTGTGCAGCTGTAATTTCGATCATGTCCAGATCTCCACCTCGACCCAGAGACCTCCTGGTTTTGATTGCGCCCATCTAACGAGGGACTGATTTCCAAACAGAACATCAGGTGAGTGCAATTAAATAGCTGGTAGGGCTGAAACTTAGCAGCGCTCTGGGACCAGGACTGAGAAGCACCACCATATAGATTATCATGAAAGTTGCAAAGCCCTGCGGCCGGGCCGGTTTCTACACTGATTATGCGTCTGTCAAACCTGACTGCAGAATTCCTTTGACATTTTAAGCTGAGGTTATACGCAGCTGTTGCCCTGAGCGTATCTTGCTCTGAAGCCAAATGTGCATTAGCATAAATCTAAAATACGTAATGTGAGTGTTCAGTCCCTGATGATGAACATGTTCCTCTCATCTTACAAATACCAAATATGAACAACTTTCTTACCAAGTTCGTGAGCAGTTGTGAAAGCAGAAGGCAGACCGTCATCTTCAATGACAGAGCAGCTCCTCTTTGGGTCACACATGGTCCCAACGTCAGCCATGCCCAGCGTGTCGCAGGTCGTGGCCCCACAAAGATCCTGGTAACACAGAGACATTCATTTTAACACATTTAATTTTATTCTTATAGAAATGTTGAACAATCAGATAGGACAGGAGCCATGCTCCAAACATGTTTCGTGTGGCCGTGCCTCGAGCTGCAGAAGGAACAGACCATGAAGAGCATTAACACAAAGCACATGGGACTGGTTTGTTTATTGTTGCTCTGTTCTTAAAATAAGATGAAGCAGAGGGTCAGGGGCGATAACCCATCGCACATTTCCTCTTTGTGTTTAGTTAAAGATGTAAGAAGAGAGTTTGGGAGGACAAGATGAGTCCCACCTGCTGCACACAGCCCAAGGTAAAGTAAAACCTTTTCAACACTTACTACAGGCTTCACATCTTACCACAAACTCTCTCGTTATCTCCTCTTTTCTCTGTGTTGTGCTCCAATGTCTGCTAATTGGCTATGTCTGGATGGGTCAGTCAACAACTGATCTCTAATCTATAGGTGACGGGACAAGATTTCAGTATTGGAAGTGTATCCGTAGACAAAATGACTGGCGCACAAAAGAGGAAGTCTCGGCCCAGATATCTTATAGCTGCACCGCATCAGCCTGAAGTACGGGTCCTTGCTCCCAGAGGCTTATCATTGTCAGATGACAGCCGATGGGTTCCTAGATCGGTCCACAGCCAACCTTCCCTCCAGTAAACATGCCTGCCAGTTTCCATGTCATGGGATTATCTCTTTAGCCATGCTAGCAGCGTGGCTCTACAGATGTCAGTTCTGCAGTCCACCACGTTGGTCCTGACTGAAATATCTCAACAACTATAACACAGACAGACCTTCAGTTTTCAAGAGACATTCATGATCCCCAGAGAATGAGTCCAAATAACTTTCTTGATCTCTTGACTTTTCTTTTAGCGCCACTACCAGGTTGACATTTTAGTTTTTTAGTGAAATGCTTCGACAACTGTTTTCATTTCATGTTTCCCTCAGAATCAGCTGTAATAACTTTGGGGAATTCTTGTTTAGCGCCATTATCAGGTCAGAATTTTAATTTGTCCAACACTTTGGTTAATTACCTGCAAAAACAATGACTGTAATCCCTGTGTTTTGCCAGTTGGCAAATGCTAGCATGCAAACACGCTAAAATAAAAAAGATTTGAACAAAGTCAACGACTCCAGGATGTTGTGATCACAACAGTTAACACAAATCCGGTCAGTCCCTGTGAATTCTACGCGACCTTGTAATTTTGTCCAATCACTGCAACCTTAAAGCAAATTTAACTATTTAAAATGGCTAAACTATAATTTCATTGTAGAGCTGCGCACAGCGTATTGATTCGGAGCAGTGTTGAGTGGCAGCTGGAGGGACTGAATTGTAAACCTTACCTGCTTCCCATTAGTATTTTCATTTTGAGCATGTTAGCATTTAGCTCAAAGCATCACTGTACCTGTGTACATACAGCCTCACCATCTGCTTGGCTGTGGTCTTTCAGTCTTGTTATTCAACACAACAGGAAAAAGTTACAACCTATTTCCCACAGGGAAAAGTCATTATTATTGAAAATGGCCAGGGGACATTGGTTGTCAGGATGATAGATGCCTCTGTCCCGAGGCTGACTTTTATATCTGACCCTTATTGTGTCTCCATATCTCTGGGCAGGAGTTACACTTTTATGTTGTATCAAAAAGACTTCTCTTTGCTTTTGTAGTGTTCAGAGCAAATACAAACACACAGGGGACGGTGAACTTGTTAACCCAGTGTAACAGTGAGGCCCAGCGATGCCAGAAGCACCCTCTGCCAGCCATGTGTATTCCACACCGCTTGCTCTCAGTAACCTATTACAAGATTTTTTCCATCTCAGCAGCTGCACTCATTGTGCCCTACAAGGACAACACCGGACCTGGACTTTCCTACATATAATTGCCCTCAGTGTAAATAAGGGATCTCTCCTCCGGCACTGGGGCGATTCTTAAGTCGTTTTGACCTTGAAGTGTTTTTGTATGTTGCTATGCAGTGAAGAAGAGCTGCCGTGTATCAGATGGCCAGCCAAACTGGACCTAATGGAAAGCAGGCACCAACGAGCAGGCATCAGAGAAAGTTAGTGACTGTGGAGGAAGATTTACTAGTCAGTGGCAACAGCTCTGGGGGCCACATGGGATTATCTGACAGCTGTGACCAGACTGAACGCTTTAGATAGTGTCAGTGTGCACCAGCTTGAATGAAAGAAGAAGTAATTTGGATTCTTATCCAAATGTTCTGATCATTATGAAGGTGCTTGTTTAGGCAGGTATGACCCAGTTCTTATTCTGTAGCAGCACACGGAGGTGAGGTCTTTCATGGAAAGAACTGGCTCAGTTGCTCTTTTCCAATGACTCATTGAACTAAATGAAAGGGACTAGCAGAACTGCGCAGCTGAGAGGCTGCAGCGACACACGCTCATGGATGGATAACTGAACAAGAGTGGCTTCTGTATGAAGTGACAGTTAATATTTGTCTCTCTCAGTCTGGGATTCTGTCTCTGAGAGGGGATGGGAGATTTACATGTCTGTGCCCTGGGGCCCATTGTCTCATAATGCACAAGTTGTCTATGAGTGCAGCAGTTCTGTCTATTCTTTGCACCATTATTGTGATGCACCATAGCTGCTGCTCCTGCTTACCTGTTTGGTGAACAGTATGGCAGTGTCCCAGTACTCTGCGTGCTTGTCGTTGTGTTTATTCAACTTCTTCTGCCAGGAGCAGAAGTTGCGCAGAGTCAGGGCTGCGTTACTGGAAACCTTAGGTCCCTTGTCAGCTTCATTTATCACCATGAAGCCCACCACCACTATGTTTATGGAGTTGAGAATGCTGGGGTGCTTGTAAAGCCTGGCTGCTACCGACATCAGGGTCAGGAGGTAATGCTTCAGGTCATCCCCGTGAAATTTAGCCATGGATTCATCTGCCACCACCAACACCTCCACAAACCTGGGGATGGAGGCAAACCTCTTGGACCTCCCTAAAGTTTTTAGCACAGTCTCAGTTAAGCCATCAATCTCCAGTTCGCTCATGTGCTTGTATTTCTCCAGGGAAATGTTGTAGTTGGCGTCAGGTGTAACTCCACACCTGCTGGTGAAGTTGCCGCCTGAGTGCGCAGCGCGTCTCCGGCGGCGGATGACATGCGTCCTGTCGAAAGAGTTTCCATATCCAGACGCGACTGCTGCGTCTTCAGTCCTGGTCTGGCTGATGAAATACTCCATGCCGTCATAGGAGAAACTCCCGTGGAGACCTTTACACAGGCTGAGAGCAGCGAAGGAGTCCGGCTCCGCGTTAACGTTACCGGAGTAGAAGCAGTCCCGTAAGTCAGCGGCTGCAGAGTCGTTGGATGCTGAGGAGCCGCTCTCAGGCGGCAAGCTGCCCGGTGCAATAAAACTAGAATCCGGTGTGAGGTGGAGGTAGAATTCCTGTTTGAATGCACTGAGTCTAAAAACTATCTGTCTTTCATTCATCTGCTCCGCGCGCCGGTTCAAATGCTTGTCATGCTTTTGGTGATCCACACGGACAGGTATGCAGAAATCTACCTCCATGCAATATGTCAGTTTGAAATAAAGTAGGAACTTTGTGAAAATAATCAAAGAACTAATGAGTATAGCCATGTTTGTTCCTGCTCAAGAAAGTCCACTTTGTAATTCGGCTTCGGTGCGTTTGCACGCAGTGGAGAAGTTGCGCGCAATGGCACGGAGCGCCGCTTGTGCGTCCTCAGAAAGCTAAGCATCCGCACTGCCTTGCAGCTTCATTCTCATCCTGCACCGTCTCCACTCTGGCCACCAACTTATCTGAGCTGCTGAGCTTTAAAGTCGCGCGTACAACACCGATGCTCGCTGTCAACTGAAATCTGGGTACGGCGCGCAAGAGAGAGCTCATTGGTCATGCGTCTGGGTTTGTGCTGCAGACCGCAGCCACTTGTAACTCTCCAAATATTATTGTTGCTGTACAGCATGTGTGACAGAAGCTGGAGCATCATCCCCCTCCCACCGGCCAGACTCACTACGAAGCGGGCAGACAGGGAGAAAACATACAAGGAACAAAGCCCACACAGAGTGGTTTCATTTGGAGATTTTAGACTTTCATTTTACCCAACACACCTGCACCATAACATTTAAACTGTACATTAAATGATAGAGCACGATATTTCTAAAAAATCTCACTTTTTTTCCTTTTCCATGCAAGTAAAAATAATAAGTTGAATCGATAAAGCAAACACCAAATTAACCAGAATAGACCCCATCAAGGAGGTTCAACTAACGCCTTTATTTTTCTGCATATCCTCATCATGCATAAGAAAAAGTTTAAAGACAAATGCAAAGTGAAAAGCAGTCTCAGAGCGACACCTGTTTGCACTTGCAGACCGCAGGAGCTTCAGTGCGCCGCAGCGCCTCAACAAGTGTGTTGTACTCTGGCGCCATCTGACGTCTAAAGCGTCAAACTGCACCGCCCAGGATCACTTTCATTGTTTAAAGAGCTGGCATTCTGCTGGCTCACAGTCTTAATAAAGTGATTTACATGGTGCCTGGCAGGACATGTGTTTAGTCTTGTAATACAGCAGATGCCTTTTTAGAAAAGCCCTCTGTAACACCATGAATAAAATGCTTCTATTCGTTTTGGCGCTGTAAAGAAATATCCAGGAATGTGGTTAATAAAAACAAATCTGGACACACTGGGTTCTTTGTTTTAACATTTTGGATAAAAAAAAAATAGGATTATTCGAGTAATTGCTCATTTTCATTGAAGCATGACATCATTAAATACAAATGATTTAAATTGCTCTTTGGGTAAACGAGCTAGAAGCTGTTCAAATAAAGTTTCTATGATGCAGAAACACATGATTCGATGATAATATTCTTCTCATGGCTTTACTAATGTGGTTAAACATTGCTCAGTGTTCAAGGTGGCTGTCAGCTCCAAGCACACACAGTGCCTTTCTGTGTCCAGCGGTGGCCCTTTGTGCAGGGATAAAGCAGATCGTCCATGGGGGCCCGGGCTCTGTGGGGGCCTGCCACTCACACACGGCTCCGAAATAACTCGAGTAGCGGACTTCCAGCTATGCGTAGTATAGATGTCCTGCCGCTGCCATATAGCACGCTGGGTTAATAATAGGAACACGGTTGTCAAGCTATTTCAGAAGGGGGGAGTGTCGGCCTATTCTCATTGGATCCGTTTTATCCGTGAGTATCTCGTGAAGTACGAGTGGGAGGAGAATTTCCAGCAACGGAGGATATCAAAAATAAACCCCCTCGTGTCCAGGGAAGAGCAGAAAGTATAAATACCCCCGATATGTCCAGACTGCAGCGGTGCTGGTGAGTGGTACAACAAGACTTAGCTTGGGTAGGGAATTACAAACGACAACTCAGACAGACTGAAATTAAATACCAGACATACTTTGACCAAGAGTGGCTTCACAGCGCTGGGAAAAATCACTTTTAATTTGAAAAGATTTCCATTTCGAGAAGATTCTCCTCCGATTGGAGAAGACGCGCCACTAACCACAGATAAAGGACATACATTGTAATAAATTCTTTAATTTTTTTTTACCACATTTGATGCAGTTTCCATTGCAGAAGATGTGTTCCACTGTGTGTTTGGTCTTTTTACTCCTGTGCGTAATGAACGCGGCACTTCCCACTCCATTTGAATCAGAGGATATTGTACCTGTGCGGATAAATGGAAGACTCAGCGGTCGGTTTTGGAAAAGAAGCGAGGAACTGCCTCGATTTACCCTGAGTGCATTTGGCAAGGACTTGACTCTAAACCTTATACCAGATACCAGCTTTATCGCGCCTTCCTTCACCATACAGCGCATCAAAGCCAGAGATGTTGGCGCTTTACGCAGCGCTTCAGGTGCCCAGCCTGCCGCGGATCTCCAGCAGTTCATGAACCAGACAGAGGAGAGTGAAGGGCAGCTCAGGAGCTGCTTTTACTCGGGGAATGTAGATGATGATCAGAGCTCGGTTGTGGCTGTCAGTTTGTGCTCAGGCATCTTTGGCTCCTTCATCACGGAGGGGAAAGAGTATTTAATTGAGCCCAAACATCGCGGCGGCCTGGGGCCAGACTCTGTCGAGCAGCTGCATGTCATCAAAAGGAGGACATTCACCCAAAGCCACGGTGTTCCCCTACTGTTTGATCACGCGGCGGCGGAGAGCAGAGCGGAGAAGCACAATGGGGAAAGTTTTACGCATGAAGGCAGTGACGCACAGAGGGAACCTCGCCGGAGACGCTTTGTTTCCGCGCCACGGTTCATAGAGACCCTGGTGGTAGCAGACTCAACCATGACCCACTTCTATGGAGATGAAATAAAGGTCAGACACGATTAACTCATTCTTTCATGCACGCACTGTTGATAGGAACCTAAACAAACCTCAGTTTAATTCCTCAGATTAGACTGTCCCATAAACAAACTGCTGCAGACGTCATCGGTTTTTTCCTATTCTCCATCCTGCTTGCAAGGATTTTATAGCCTAGACATATAGTGGCAGGGATCTGTTTTTCTGTACTACTTCATAAAACATGTTTTGGCAGTGAGGGAGCTTGGGAGGAAATCGATGGGCTCCCTGTTTTCCACAGGCTGAGAAAGAGGTCAGGCAACAGAAATGCAAGCAATGCTGAACCACATTCCTGAAGACTTGGTCACGATTTGGCAGCAGAGCCTCAGCATCATCCAGGGAAGATTCACAGGGCTTACATTATCTATTCTATCCTGTCTTTACTCTTCATTATAAAGGCATTTATTGGACCCTGTCAGGCTGTACAGCATACAAAAAACACTTGAAATCACCCTCTGTCCTTAATATCAGTCCTGTTTCAATCCAGACCGAAACGAAAGACTTATCTAAAACAAAAGTAGGACAATCCATGATCCTGCTACAATCTGAAGCAGCCAAATTCTAGTCTGTTTGTACTTAACAAGCTTCTCAGCTGCCAAACCCTCTTCCTTATCCCACAGTAAGAGTGTATCTAAAGCCCACTAGGCACCAGGGTCAAGTGATCAAAGGTTAGACTGATAAATCGGGTTTATATTGGATCTTCATCACAGATAGGCTTGTTTCACATATCCTTACCCCTGTTCACCATGAGCAGGGGCGTTTTTAGTGATTCAGAAGTCCCGGGCAAAAATCAACATGTGGCTGTGTGGGAGTGGGAGCGTGCACACGTGGAAAAACTTCTTACACAGGAATATCATCACACCCTAGAAAAAGGGGAATTCAACAAGGCTGATGGAAAAGTTTGATATGCACGTGAAATTAGAAACTGAAGCGTCTAGACCTGCTGTCTATGGAAAGTGCCATGAGATAACGTTTGTTGTGATCTGGAAACCGCTGTATACATAATACTGACTTGACTTGAGAACACATCATGATTTACCAGCTCTCCACTAAAACACAACAGCACTGTGGAAAACCTTGCCCATCCCTGCCTCCCACGACACAAACATGGATAGTGATAACAGAAACTACTTGGAGGCAGTTGTACAGTTAGCGAATCCAACTGAATGCTGAATAACAGTGCTTCTGTTTTCCTGAAAATGGTTGCAAGCTCATGATGCAGATACACGTGAGTTGCAGTTTTAAACTCTGATGACAAAAACATGTATACTAGTTACTTAAACTAAAGTAAAAGCAGCAACGTTTTTTTCTTTGTGATCTTTAAATGGTCTCTCTATGCATCTCAACCAAAGTCATGAAATTGCTTTTTGCATTTGCTAATAAAGCATAAAGCGTATCAGCTGATTATGGCTTAGAGCAAATACATGGTTTTGTCCAGTAAGTAACAAGAAGCTGCAGCGCCAGTGAGACAAAATATATATTTGCAGGCATTTAGAAACACTGTGTGTGTTACCATCACATATACCCCATTCCCACCAAAATTAGTGTGCGTATGCAGGTTTTTAAGCACGGGTACACCCAATAAAAATAGGCGACAGACTCCTTTCCCATTGCCAGTACACAAGAGCAGTGTACACGGTTCTTTAGCCTTTGCCGTGTCATGTTTAATGTAACAGACAGGCAGGAAAACAGGTTAACAAACATTAGAAAGTAGCATGGAGGCCTGTGAAGTTCTTTTTATATATCTCTCACCTATTCAGTCTCTCTTTCGAACTTGGCGCAGACTCATTTGGATCAATGTGGACGGCATTTTGAGATCTCGTTGGTTAACAGGTTAAAATTAGCACGTTCTCCCCGGTGTTGTGTTTCCATCAACGCCACTTAGAGCCAGAGCCGATAAATACCCGTGATTACTTTGTGAATGCAGATTGTAACCCTTCCTATTACATTAAAAAGACAGATGTTAGTGGGTAGTTTTCTGTGCAGTGGGAAAGGGGTTACAGTTTGTCCAGCTCAGAACATATATTGGAAACAACTTGTTGAGAAACTAATATTGGCCGATGAAGTGTTATCCGTTTTTGTTACTCTCAAATATTATTGAATTGGTTGGGCTCTAGTCTGTGTGGGCAGAAACACAAGCATAATATCCATCCTCCACTTTGTCTTTGCACTGTTTAAAACTCTTGAGCAAAGCAGTTAAAGTATTTAAATGTCCTGTCTCTCCTACTCCACAGCACTACATTCTGACCCTGATGTCGATGGCGGCCCAGCTTTACAAGCACCCCAGCATAAAGAACTCAGTAAACATGGTGGCGGTGAAGATGTTGGTGGTGGAGGACGAGGAGGTTGGCCCGCAGGTGTCCAGCAACGGAGGTGTGGCGTTGAGGAACTTCTGCTCCTGGCAGCAGATCTTCAACCCGCCGAGCCAGAGGCACCCGGAGCACTATGACACTGCCATGCTCTTCACCAGAAAGGTGAGGGCCGAGTACAAAGCTGGTTTAGCTTCTGTGGCAGCTGTAGAATGGATGTTGAGGTCTCTGCAATAAAACATACCATCATCTACATACATGGTTTTAAACAATTGATGAGAGCCAGTTTCCAGAATTTGAGCATGAAAGTAAATTCTTCCTCTAAAGTCTTAACTCAAGGTCCAATTATCATCTTACCAGAGCTCTCCTCTGCTCAGTCTTCTTTAGTGGATGGAGTTTGCTCAGTTGTGACAGAGAGACCCTGGACAATAGACTGAACGAACATTGGAAACAGATTACATAGTTGTCTGTTCACACCTTTCAAAGAGGGGTCAAAGGTCATCGACCAGAGGTCAGTGGACAGTCAGAGAAAGATCAAGAAGTCCATTGGCATTTGATGTCAGAGACCATCGTTGAACAAAGACAGAGGTTACCACCACCTCCCTTCCACATACAACCAAATGTGGGAAGGAGGATCAAACAGAGTGCTAACTGACAACTGAGCAAACTTCATCCTCTGAGGAGGAAGAGCTAATACACAGAATCACAATGTTTGCTTACACTTACTTCTGGAATGAAACCCCCCGCGTCACATACATAAAATTAAACAGCGCTGCGCAAATGCTGCCATAATTGGTTAGTTTTTAGCCACCTATAAAGTCCCAACTTTAAAAAATTAATATCGGTTCAAGTGTACACTTTATGTAGAATATTTTCATGTTATACTTTGTTGTCAGACAGCTCTTTCAGATGAGGAACTGAGGCCATTACGGCAAAGACTCCATTTACAAGAGAGTCATTTTAACGTTATTTCAGAGAACACCGGAAATGCTGGTCTACCGCTGTCTCCATCAGTTAGTGTGTGAGGTAAAGTGGTGAAAATATTCCAAATATTGCGTACACTTAAAATATAGGCAGCTAAAATATGTGTTGCTGAGGCCCCTCAACAGCAGTACATTGTTTTGCATCCATTTCACACATCTCCGCATTAAGAATCAGTTTATTCAGTGAATGGACTTTGGGTTTGAATGTTTATTTAAATTTAAGACAGCAGTGGCCCAAGAATTCATCCTTGGGGAACACCAAATTTCGTATCTAAGGAGTGGTATCATGGGTTTCATGGGAAAGTTTTAGCTATAGGAACGGCTGAATGTTCATAATATTTGGTCATAAATTATAAGTTAAAGCTGCACTTTGTTTATTTTTGTGGGTTAAAAGCCTGTGTGTTATATTAAATGTATCGCTCACAATGAACCCACCAACAATTATCACCCAGTTCTGAAGTTCCCATCACTTTTTTTTTTTTTTTTGGTTTTCTGACCTACAGCGTTACGTTTTTGGATCAGTCTTACAGCTTATCAGCAACAAGAAAACCTCAGATAAACTGACTTGTTTGCTGCCTGCCCAGCACCAAATGACCTGCTGATAAAGTTAACGAACAAGTGGTCAACATACGAAACAGTTCGTAGCTTAAAAAGGCAGATTTATAATTGTGTGTTGGCTCGACGGTGAAGTTTCTGCTAAGTGATATCAGGTTTGATTGATACAAAACATCCCTAAAACACTCAATAAACACTGTGACAGTTTCTCCACAAAACAACATGCTAACATTATTAGCACAAGCCTATGGCATTTTACATTGTATAAATTAGCCTAGCAGCTAGCAGACTTTTCCTCTTCTCATATGAAGCCAGGAACAACAGCAACATTTAACAAAGGTAACGTTACAAAATTCAGCTCCATTACAGCTCACAAGGCTCACTGACAAAACAACTGTCTTATACTAAACACGTTTTCCAAACAAATACAATATGCTAATGTTATTAGCACAAGCTTATAACATTTTACATTGTATAAATTAGCCAAGCTGGTTAAAGGATAAATCACACACAAGACTTCAAATGTCATTTTGTGGAGGCTTTGTTGTCTTTACAATTTATTGAAAATAGAAAATAGCCAGATAATATCCAGCCAATAGCCAGGGCGGTTATAATTCTGGGGTGGTGCACGTCAGGCTACGATGTAAGGTACATGTTTATGCAGAGCCTACACCATAGGAATGGCGTTGATTCAACACAGACGTATAAATCTCACTAAAGCATCAGTATCAGACTCACATTCTTCAGGTTGCCAGACGCAGTTAACAAATTTGCCACAAGAACTTAATAAGACCCACAGTATATTAACCACATGTGATTAATGCAGCTGTAAAACTCCAGTATTAGCAGAGAATATCTGGTATCAGGCTTCACGTCTCTCAGTGGTTTCAGAATACACACAGATCATGATAGATTATGATGTGGAGCCTCCCTTCACAGCACGGTTTGGACTGTTTGGTGCAAGAAACAACTCGAATGTTGCGAGTGCTTTACAGGGTATTATTAGAACGGACAGTCCACTTACCCGTGATAGTGTGGTATATTTTGTTCTCCATTCAGAAGGCAGTTACCCAGCGAGGATGAGTCATGAATTAAGCCCTGGTGGAATTCGGTCCCAGGCCAGCTGCGGTACATAGTGTGGTTTCTGAGCAGCAGACTCAACCACACAGCAATTACTTGAAACCAAAGTATCTTACAGTAACACAGGTGCATTTGACGGCCAGTTGTGTTTATAGTAGGGTGTCCCAGCTTAAATAAAAAGCCCCCTGCTTTGTGACAGTTACTGTCATATCTTGCTCCTGAGGCAGCCCAGGAGCACATGTGTGAGAGCAGAGGAAAACATTGAAACAAAGCGAGGTAAAGGAAAGGAAGCCTCTGTGGCCCTCTGGGTAAATGAAGGATGCTGAAAATGGATCGCTGAGATGGAACAGTTGTAATCTTTTCCAAGCAGGGGGAACAGAGAGCAAACAGACTCTGCTTTATGGATGCTTCGACAGGAAATAAGTCCGTAGGGTTGGAGTTGTGATTGGCTGCTGTATTTGGCTGCCTTCGTCCATCTGGTATGTGCATGTTGACAAGGTGTGAGCAAACAACAGTAGATGAGGAACTTCTTTATGATTACATGTCAATAGCTAAGTGCTTTGGTAACAGACTTGCCATTTATCTGCCTACTGAGTGACGCTAGCATGTAAATCTGACCCTGGATCAGGGAAATGATGGATAGAACATATGGGCTTTTGCAGTCCTGTGTTGGATTTGTTGAGGCGGCTTTCGATCGTGGAAACCATCATTCACGCTAACCCAGTTTGTTTGTTTTTCCATTTCAGCGGAGATATGCTTTGAAATGTAGAGGACGGAAGACTCCTCGTGGATGAACTAACTTTAGTACCGCCACAAATCAGCTCTGACATGATTAGGACACTTGAAATGGTCAGCTTGAGTGTGCGGCCGGGGTCTGGGGTTGAAAATGTGCGCCGTGTATCCCGCAGTCAAAGGGCTGCTGCTGGCTGTTGTGAAACTGAAAACTTGCCCTCTGTTAGATGTAGTGGAAACATTTTTGTCATGCATTTCTGTGGTCTTATACTGTATGTGTGTTTGTTCCTCTGTGTGCACTATCTGCACACAGCCTACGCTCTGACCCACACATCTTCCTCTCTGTCTGTGTGTCTGCATACATGAGTGACAGATGCTATTGTGAAACAAGGTGTACAAATGCATGCTGAGCTGCGTTCAAATGGCAGCTCTGAGTCCAGATGTGTTTTGAATCACAGAAGGTTCTGCCTTGTGGTTTTTAGGGGGTGAGGCCAGGCCGTGGATGCGTCCGTCTGTGTCCTACACAGCCAGGCGTCTTCCTGAGCAGGGAAAAGATTTCTGATACACCACATTGTTAATTTTACCAGATCATAGCTCTGGACAGCTGCATGCTGGGATATTTATTTGCTTTGTTTTATGACGGAAACACTGAGCAAGATGTTTTTGATTTGTTTCTTGAAAAGTCGCAGAAAAACAACTGGACACAAATAGAAATGGTGAAGGCTTGCCATGCTAGTGATTAATATCACTCGGGGCTGCCTGTGCGCTTCATATATTTACTTCTTGACAGAATAATGTCAAATGGTCTCTACTTTTTAAAAGAAACAGGCCTTATATAGGTTTAAGACAATGTAAGGAGCCAGAACTGCTCAATACTTCACCGACTGTCCATGAAAAGACCTCAACCTGGACTGATTTAAGTGAAACAGTTGATTGGATCCAATAGAAGTTTGGATTTTCTTCTGTTTCGTGACACTGAAGCTACGACAAGATCAAAAAGCGCCTCATGGTACGCAGCTCTTGCTCTAGCAGCATATGTCCATGTTGGGTGGCGTGTCACTGCTGGTTTTTGGGATGCCGCTGTGGTTATACTGGCTCTTGCCGCTTATGAATGGTATGCCACTCATGTTCCACTGGCAGATACCACTCCCCACCAGTACATACTGATTATTATTGACATACTGTATACCACTGGTGATTATGATGTGCTGCTGTGTGTGTGAATTGTTGATGGTGTTATACGCAGATTCTTAGTAGTAAGTATGTCTGTAGTGTATTGCTGCTGTTCGAATGGCGCATGCCTTCCCTACTGGAGGAGTGGATTCTTACTGCCGTATGTCATTGCTGTGGCGACAGTACAACTAAAACATAAATGTCGGCTGTGTGCTATTCCAGGACTTCATGGGATTTTTTTGGGATTGTTGCAGCCTGAAATGTCTGATTTCACAGCAGCTTTTCAAAAAAATTGCTTTGCATGTTGCAACTTTTTTAGGTGATTTTTGGCTACAGAATCGTGGGTGCAAGTCAAATCGGCAACTGTATAATACATTGAAAATCAGGGGCAACCTGTCACAGTGGCTGTGACAACATACCACAGTTCCTAGGCCACTTAGTTTGTGAGTTGTCTCGGTTTTGACTCGTGTTTCTGTTCCACAGTACTCACATGAGACAGAGAAAAAGTTTAACGAGAATCCTAAAAAGAAAAACAAAACGGCGGGCCAAGTCAAAAGTACATCTTGTACGGTCTACTACTGACCCACTATCTTTTCTCTATATATTCCCATCTATTAACTGTTATTATACTGTATGTCTTTTATGCACGATGTTCTCTTTTTGTCATGCACACTAAACTGCCTTACAGCACCACACCTGGCGTTAATAACTTGTGCCTGTACTCTAACACAGAAATAAAGTTAATATGAACATAACCTCAGTATAGTCCACGACCATACACCATTCAAAATACATGGAAACTGCTGTGTAAACTTAAACATCATCAGAAACTAAATGATATGTTATATCAACACAGACATTTTCACTAAATATAAATATGTGTTGAGGTGGCTCTCACACTTGTTTCAGTCAGAATCAAGCCATACTGTTTACACTGCACTGATGTTACCACTACCCAGCATATTTAATCTAACTCACTTAAATTCTTTTAGCACATGCAATGTGGATGCAACAGCCTCTGTCATGGTGATTCATCTTGCCTATTGTCCACATGTTTCATCCCTCTGGTTGTGTTTTGCGGTAGAAAAGTGTTTGTCAGTCGATGACTTTCATCTGTGTTCCATCACAGAGTTGTATGTGGTGTAAAACACAGTCCCTCCAGGATGTTGCAGTGTTGCAATCACATCGCAAATTCACAGCAACAGTTCCTGTGAATTCTGCCTGATCTTGCAGTTTTGTCCAGCCACTGTAACTTTACTGCAAATTTGACCATTTGAATGGGTAAAATCTCATTTCACTGTACAGCTGCGTTCAATGTATTGACAAGCTCAGCGTCTTTCTCTCTGTTTATCATGAGGCTACTGCTGCAGGACCTGAGCTCTGTGACTAGAATCACACACACACACACACACACACACACACACACACACACACACACACACACAGTGACAGGGCTAACTGCTAGCATCACAAAGCTAACGTCATACCCAGTGGTCATTGATATGCTCCAAATCTCCAAAAAACATGCATTGCAATTTTTAAGAAAAGCTGCTTTGAAATCAGACATTTCGGGCTGCAACAATCCCAAAACGCAAAATCCTGGTGGAACTGGAAACAGTCTACCCCCACTTTCGTGCAGAACATCAGGGAATCGCCTTCTATGGTCTTTGGTAATTATTTCTGTGGTTAAATGTGAAACATTTGTGTTGCACAAACCTGCATCTTCACAACCAGAAACAAGTTTTGGGTTTGGAGACGTTATGGTGGGGTCTGCTATGATTGGTGGGACTCACAGGAAACTACAATGATTGGTCAAATTTGGTGTGGTTATTGGACAAAATTGCAAAATAGTGCAGAATTCATGGGGACTGGTTAAATTTGCATTTATTATTGTGATCACAACATCCAGGAAAGGCCAAATGAGTAAAAAGAAGAAAAAAGAGATTTTGATCTCACTGGTTAATATGTAGTGTAACTGTTCAAACTTTGTTCAAGGCTACAGCTAATATATTATAGCAACACATTGCTGACAGGGGAAAATTATTATAATCTGCAGTGATACACCAAAAGTATATATATACGGATATTTGGTGAAACAAAAATGCTTGTAATTCTTGGAATTTCCTGGCATTGAAGTAGTCACAATTATGATTTTGAAGATCCACTATTGTAAACTAACAAACAAAATATCATCATCATCATCATCATCATCATCATGACCTTAGTACTCTGGTTTCATTGTTTCTGTTTTTGTTTGTATTGCAGGACATCTGCGGACAGAAGAGCTGCGACACACTGGGTGTGGCCGACGTCGGGACGATGTGCGATCCCAAAAGAAGCTGCTCAGTTATCGAGGATAACGGCCTGCAAGCTGCCTTCACAGCTGCACACGAGCTGGGTTAGCTCACATTTGTTGTTGTTGATGTGGGCGTAGGATTTATGAAAAGCATGTTTAAAATGTGAGTTCTGTAATGTGTGGCATTTAAGCCTTTTGTCATTGCATCCTCTCCACACTGCAGGTCATGTGCTGAGTATGCCTCATGACGACTCCAAGACCTGCGAGAGGCTGTTTGGAGATCTGGGAGGACATTACCTGATGGCGCCGCTGTTTGTCAGCCTCAACAAGACTGTGCCCTGGTCTCCCTGCAGCGCTCTCTACATCACCGAGTTCTTTGACAACGGACATGGTAGGAAAAACTTCACGTTGTCGCCCCAGCACGTTAAGAATTACACACTGAGTAGATCAGAAGCTACGCTGCTCTGTAGAGACCTTCTGCCAACATGGACGTCTGCCACGACACTGTGGCTCTGTTATTAGGGCCGGTTCAGAGATGAATAAAACATACTGTTATTCCTCTCGTGCTCTAACTATGGCTTTCCTGCTTAAACATGTCACTGCCTTCAAATTATGGGTTGTAGGGAAAGTTTATCTTGCCCTAGATTTCCACATCTTCTCTTTCCACATCCTCCTCTCCTCACTCTCTCCCTCTCTGGTTCTTTCTCTCTTCGTCCCGCCTCCCCCCTCCTCATCTCAGGTTGTGCATCTTGTGTTGTTTGTATCCTTACTAGACCTAACAGTGAACCCACTTTTCCACTGAGTCATACAATGGACTTCTTCCTGTTCCTTACCTTCCTCAGCCAAAAGCAACAGCTGGTGTCAGCAAAATATGTTCTTTATCAGCGTGAAAAAAAAAAAACGCGCGAGGCTGAGAATGTTCATGCCGAACTGCGGACGTCATTGACAACTCCAGGCAGAGAGCTTATTGAATGTAATAAAGAATCATTAGAGGACAATGAATAAATTCTGATTTGGAGTAGCTGTCAAATGTCCAGATTCAGAGCGCTCGGCTGCCTGTAAAAGCGCACAGCGTTAGTTAAATCTAAATGATTCATTTTTATAGTCAGGACACAACTTGCCCTGAATATTTTCCCACTGTTGTCATGCCACACACAAAGAGCAACACATTTACAGTTGTCGCAGCGTCCACAGTCTCCATAAACCACAGTATAATCACTCTCATACAGTGTTGCTTTGTGTTGTAACCACAGGGGACTGCCTGCTGGATGTCCCAGAGAGCACCATTCCGTTACCCAGAGAGCTGCCAGGCACCAAGTACAGCCTGGACCAGCAGTGCCAGCAGATGTTTGGAGAGGAGTTCGTCCATTGCCCCAACTCCTCCGACACGGATACTTGCAGCCAGCTGTGGTGTCAGGAGGATGGGACGCAGCAGTGCTCCACCAAGAACGGCAGCTTGCCCTGGGCTGACGGCACCCCTTGTAACTTCAACAGGACCTGCCTCCACGGAGAGTGCATGCCGACTCAGGAGGTGATGCAGCCACTGGTAAGACTGCTTCTCTATTTATGTGTCACTAAAGCAAGACTCTGTAACTTTTAAAGACAAATTTCCACATTTTTCTCCTTGAGAAGGGAAAAGTTGAATCATTAATAAGTGATGAAACACATGCTTGCTCAACACACTCGGGTTTCACTGCTACAGTTTTAGTTGGTGTGGTGTGACTAGTAGCTTCGGGTGACTCATGTTAGAAAACTCTACTATGTTACTGACATTACTGAGTCATTTTGCTGATTCTGAAACTCTTTTTCTTTTTACATTTGTCATACTATAGTTTAGCATTTAGCATTATCCCGTAAAGCCCTTTTCCATTGCACAAAAAAAAATACCAGCACCCGCCAACATCCAGCTTTTTAATGTACTGGGAAAGATTACAACTGGCATTCAGACTCGGGTCAAATGACTCTGCAGTAGTCACAGGTATTTATCGGCACCAGCCCCCACAAAATGCCGTCCGTCTCCGTCCAAGTAGTGCTTCGACAGTGATTCAAATTAATCTGTAGGAGTGTGAAAGAGAGACTGAATAGGTAAGAGGTATACAAAAAGAACCATCAGCCCATTTTCCACCAACATTTCCAGGAACTTTTATTCCCAGGAATTTATTTACCTGGGTGAAAGAATTCCTGGTAATCTGTGTGGTTTGCGTTTCCACCGCACCTCAAAGTTCCGGAGAATTTATTCAAATCATGCTGATGACGTAGATGATTCAGCGTGTGTCCTGTATTTGGCTCCGCATGCTTATTGGCTGGTTACATGCTGGTATAAGTTTTAAGTTTATTTACTTTATTAATCCCCCTGAGGAGAAATTCAATGTTTTCACTCTTGCTTGTCAATTACACACAGGTCTGAAAGACACACACATGCACAAACAGGACCTATACATGCACAAAGTGGAGAGATGTCAGAGTGAGGGGGCTGCCAATAGAGATAGGAGGTGTGTTTGTCTCAGCCAGCAGCTAAGTTTAAACGTATTTTAAGATGAGTGTCAAACTAAGTTAGTCTACATACAGACAGCTGTCATTTGAGCTTATTAGGAACAATTCTCTATCAGCCGAACTAGCGTGCTGTCCTTGTGTAAGACATAACGTTAGTGTCGGTGGATGAGAGACTGTGGACGGAGCATAATGAATATCGCTGTCTACATGTTTACACGTTCATGCTGCTGAACACATGTATTGATAAACTACTGGCTTCTTACTCGCCAAGGGTTAATGTCACTTATAGTAATGAGTGTAGGTGCTGTCAAACTCGAGTCATTTTCGAGTTATCTTCACTTTGTTTCGACACAAAAGAACTTAAACCGTTAGCGCTTATCAATACTACAGTATAATTTAGCCCCGGGGCTAATTTAGTACCGGGTTTCGGTGCCCATCCTTGAAGGAATAGTGCACCCAAAAATGAAAATTCAGCCATTATCTACTCACCCATATGCTGAGGGAGGCTCAGGTGAAGTTTTAGAGTCCTCACAACACTTGCGGAGATCCAAGGGGAGAGGAGGTAGCAGCACAACTCCACCTAATGGAGGCTGACGGCGCTATCCCTTTAATCAAAACACAAACGATGTGAAGCTTTTAGAAATGAAATAAGCCACAATGATACAAAAGTGCGGAACACTGCAAGTGTGTGTTCCACCAATCAGCGTTTGTCGGCGCACAGCCCGGCCCCTCAAGAATCCCGGGTAATCTGAAAAGTCCTACCCCCTACTAGGTACTTCTTTCAGGGAAAGTTTGGGGTGAGGGAAAGTTTTTTCCCCGGGTAATTTCGGTGGAAACACGGCGAGGTTTTTCAAAATCCTGGGTAAATGATAAAAGTTCCTGCGGTGGAAAAGGGGCAATCAATACTGATTACTATCCTGTTTTCCAGCCTGTCCGCAATGTCAAACATGACACACCCAAAAAAAAATCACACACACAGAAAGGTCATCTGTTGCAGAGTCGTGCACACAGCTCTGGTTATCTGGCAATGGGAAAGGAGTCGATAGCGTATTTATAGCAGGTTTGTGTTTTAAAAAACTTTGGCGTATGTATCAATTGTGGATACAGTGGCTGCCGTTAAGGAAAAGCTACATAGTCTTGCTTTAGTACTGCACTTATTAATATGTTCATCATGGCATCTTTCTGAGTAAAAGCTAAAAATCTTTCATATGATATTTTGACATGCACCAGTCATATAACATCTCATGTTTGCTTTAAACACAGTTTACACACAAACTATGTGCTTTAACAATATGATTGATAACCGGAAAGTGCCTTGCGCTTCCTCCTTGCTTCATGGCGTGGCTCTACTGCAGTCCACTTGAGATGACAAGGAACACTGTGATTGGCTTGTAGACGTCCCATCAAATAAATCTGTGTTTTGGTGGATTCGGACGACATCAGTGGCTGTCAGCTGTCGGGCATTTTTGTAAAGAGCTGACCTCAAAGACCTTGACAGGATGTAATATGACAGTTAACTGTGTACTTCTTGTTGCTCGTTTCATGCTGACGATGTTGCTGAGAATTGCCCGGAGGTTTCGATGAGTCACTTCCTTTGAAGTGAACTGCTCGTCTACTCAGAGTAATCAAGTCGGTAGTTGTAAAACGTTCGTCTCAGCAACTCTGAAACAATCTGTCTCAGCAGATTTCCATCGTTTTTTATTTTCACTGTGAATAATGTATTCCTGAAAATTTCAGAATGATATTTATATCCCCAGTTAACTTCTCATCCATCAGCTGTGCATGCGCGGATTTGCCTGCCGGGAAACTTTTTTTTTTCTTGATCAAAAATATAAGATTTTGAGTGCTGAAGTTTATTCTTAAAACAGTAGTTGAAGATTGGGTGATTCTGATCAAAAGCTCCACAGCAGGTCCTGCATGACCCTGCAGGTGCGGTTGTTCTGTAAACGGCTGTTTTAAAGGTCAAGAATAAACTTCAGATTGAATTTTTCAGCCAACTTGGACATGAAGTCTAATAAAGGATCAGCAAAAAATGGAAATTTAAACAACTAAAATTCTACAGCAAGTAGGCAAACTCAGTTGAACATAGTGTGATATAACTGAGAGCTCTAGAACAGCTGCCATTGGATGTTTGATTCAGACCTTTTTATAAACAACCCAACACAAAATTTCCATTTGAAATCTGCTGATATAGGAAAAAGCTTCCACGGTATCCTGCAAAGGGAAGTCGGCGATATTACACTTTGTCAGTGTTGCAGCTGTGGGCAGTTTAACGTAGGAATACATGAATGAATCGTACAGGCTACTGTAAAAGTATGGATTACAGCATTGTTGGAATTTGGTGAGTTTAAATCCAGCTGCTTCATCATGCCTGTTTATATTTCCTTAAAGACCATTTATACATCTCAGTGTTTCATTTTAGCTTGGTTGCCTTGATATCTTCTCCTTGTGTTATGATCACACATCTGTTTATGAAGCCAGACGTGCTGGCAGTTGGGACGTTAGTTGGTCCAAACTCATAAAACTTCTGGAAAAGACACTCACGCTAGCAAACACACACACACACACACACACACACTCTCTCAGCCGTGCCGTACAAAGCTGCAGCATGGCAGGTTCCACTAGTGGTGAGTGACACATGTGGCAGGAATGTGGGTAGAGGCAGACAGCGGGCGCGTGCCGAACTTCAACACAGATTTAGCCTGGAGTATCGGCGCGCCAACACACTGTGCGGCCTCAAACCCAGAGGCCCAGACTGCGGTTTAGGCTACACAGCTGAGATTGCCTTTGGCACTGAGCTCTAACCAGCTACTCTGACTGCTCTTTTTCCTCTCTTTACTCGCTGTGTTTTACCACAGGTGGTTGTGGACGGCGGCTGGAGCTTGTGGGGGCCGTGGCAGCAGTGCTCCAGAACATGTGGAGGTGGGGTGGAGTTCTCCTACAGGGAGTGCACTAACCCTGTGCCTCAGAATGGAGGGAAGTACTGCGAGGGACAGAGGGTCCAGTACCAGTCCTGCAACACGCAGCCCTGCGACAACAACGACGGTGAGAATGAGCGCTGTGCACGTTTAACAAATCAATAAATAAATAATTTGAATTTAAATAAATCAGTTGTCATGCATTCCTGTGCAGAATCTCACCAGTCATTTCAATCAATTTACGTCCTTCCTGTCGACAGCTGGTGCCATATTAATTACTTAATTATCAATAGTTTATCAGGGCTGAAACCCTGTTGTTTTTGCTTTGACTTCATTTTTTTTTGCTACAGAAATGTTTTTGCAATTTCCCTTGAGACGTTGTGTCATAGACACATGAAATTCTCACCAGTGATTGGAAGCTGTGCGCTAATGCAACTCCAGAAATATGACGCCATTTGGCCAGATGGGGGCACTGTAATAAAGGCGCAAAAATTAAATTTTTTAAAGGCCGCGTCTCTCACACCATAAGTCCGACTGACTTGAAATTTGATACACAAATAAAGTGCGGCTCAGTGTGCTCTACTGAAAACAACAGGAACTATCAAGGCTTTACAGAAAATTTTCCGTCATTTTTAATTTTTTGGAAAACACAGTTTTGACATCCTCTCGTATATCATAGGTTAAGTTTGTCCCAAATTTTCTGCGACTCATTATTGGACAAAGCTAATCAAAAACTTTCAAAGGCTTAATGATATCTCGTTGCATTCTGAAGATAATGACCAATGAACTTTATGGCTCCGCACATAAATCAAACTAACTGCACAACTGTTGAGCAAATCATCGCAAAACTTGCAGGATATGTCTAAAGACGAACCAGCAACATATCCTAAAGTTTCATTACCATCGGCTGCTGGGGGGTACCAAAACTGCAAAAAGCAAAGTGGCACAACACAAATCAGACTATAAATCAGAAATTGTTTATCCAATCATTATAAAACTTGCAGTGTGGGTTAAAATCCAGTGTTGAACCAGGTCTGTAAAATACTTAGGAATCGATCAATAGGGGGCGCTACCAGTTCCAAACAACTGCAATGACCTTTTGCAAAAATTCGGCCATAAATCAGTGACACTTTGTCCAAGCTCTCAATCTCCAGACTTGGCGGATATTTTTAACTGAGCCACTGAAGCATGTCCCCAAAAGCTTTCTGCAGTTCAACAATAGGAAGTGACAGTGTTGCCAAAACCAGTGCGGCCCAGCACAGATTTGGACGTAAATGAATGAGCATCTGTTCGATCATCATAAAAGCTGTTGGTTATTTTTAATGCAGGCGTCCTCAACTGTTAAAGCTCTTGATCCTACCCAGCTTTCAAGTTTTAAAGGTCCGTGCTGGCTTGAACCCCGGAATTGCCACTTGCGGTTATATTTGATTCGTTATTTTTTACACTTAAGCACTTTAATACTTGTGTTGAACAAATATATGTTATATTTTTGAGTCTTTATTTTGTACATTTCTTTTTATCAGTCTCATTTTTGTGGTTGTTCTGCTCTGCTCTTTATTGAGCACTAGCTTTTTTTTTTTTAGTACATGTTGCCTTTAGAGTTTGCCACCCTGCATTTTACTGCATGTATTGCAACAAAATAAACCTCCTGAATTTAAATTGAAATGAATTTCATGATAATTACATAATCAAACTGCTCATTTTTTCTATAAAATCATAGGTGGCACTCTGAGGTAATGTTTGGTGTTTTTTTTCCACATTTTATTTATGATTTTTTTTGTTTTTCTTTTATACAATAGGAAAAAACAAAGATGAACAAATAGACATGACAGAGTGTAATAAAATAAAACAAACTCAAGCTCACAGAAACAGTGCACAAATGTACGTCAGTCCATACCATGACTGAAATGTTTTGGTAGGGCAGCTTCATTTAGTGGATTTACTTTAGGGATGATTAGATTTCCAAGAGTTGACCTGCGTGTATTGCTCACTAAGCTTGACTCCATTTTTTTTTACCTTAGGAAAGAGTTTCAGAGAGGAGCAGTGTGAGAAGTACAACAGCCCCAACTACCTGGACTACAACGGTAACATGAAACAGTGGATCCCAAAGTACGCTGGTGTTTCTCCCAGAGACAGATGTAAGCTGTTCTGCAGGGCCAGGGGCAGCAGTGAATTCAAAGTGTTTGAATCCAAGGTACAGTATTATATACACACAGCTCACACACAGCCATTTGCCAACGTATTGCATTCACATTTCAGCTAACATGTCCCATTATTGATCTGATGTTTTCTGATCAAAGTGAATGTTTCTTCAAACTCTGTCAGAAACAGAAGTTTGTGTTATATTTAAATACAGAACACAATTGTACCCCTACATATTTCATCTTTGAGTATCAGAGTTTGTCAGTATTGCAGTGACAAATAATCTTGCATGACAGATTCAATTAATGTTAGCATGGAGAATAACTTGCATTAATTACTGAGTACCACTGAGTTACTTTCATAGGAATGAACGGGGCCCCGCCTCCAATGCTGTATCGACTTCTCTTTATACATCCATGATTACAACACACACAGAGGTGTCTTAATTTTCTGTTGAAGGTGCCATCACTCCACTATATCTCTGTATAGCAAATAGTGATTTGCTGCTTTATCAGTGCTATGAATGTTGCATACAGAACCTTGCAAAAATCCACAAGATGCAGGTAAATGTGCTGCTTCTGATAAAAGAATCTACAAACCTACTTGTTGTGTCCCAGCAGGTGATCGATGGTACGACCTGTGGCCCTGACACCACATCGGTGTGTGTCCAAGGCCAGTGTGTGAAGGCGGGCTGCGACCAGGTGATTGGATCCAACAAGAGAGTGGACAAGTGTGGAGTGTGTGGAGGAAGTGGGCTCACGTGTAGAAAGATCACAGGCTCCTACAACAAAGCAACGTAAGTGCTCCAAAATAATCCCTGACATATGAAAATGATAAAATAGTAACTACTACATGTAGTTCAGAGTCTTTAATATGTATTTATGCATTTCTCGTATTAAATTTGCAGAGTGAATTCAGCTGTAACACACGTCCAGGGGCATAGTTGGCCCTAAATCTGAACATTCTGTAATCTGATGAGGGATTGTAGCATGGAAAATCCTTGCTTCCTTTCACTTATCTCGATGGCTTGGTTTTGAGGCAATGAAAACAGTTATCTTGACCAGACATGGCAAAACACTGGTTCTAGATAATTCTATTTGTACATGATTTGGAAATGCATGACTAAAGAGGTTTCGTTCAGTCAGTGGACTTTCAGTTGGGATGGATATCTCACTTAGACTCACTAATTAACATTTCCAACTTCAGATAAACCTTGCCCAAGGAATCTTTGACATGTAGCCTGCCAAGGGCAGAGGATTAACCAACAACTTCCAGTTGGTAGACGACTGCTCCATGTCCTAAGCCACAGCGGCCCAAACAGATATTTATATTTGTATGTAATATATATGGATATACATGTGTGTTGGGGTATATATGCTTCTTGACCTGAGTTAGATAACAAGATTGATACCCCTTCATAGCTGTCAGTTCAATCGAAGCCCAGTACAGATCTCTAATTCATCTTCAGCTACTTCCAAGGTGCATGAAAAAAGGAAAAATGTCTTAAGAGCTAAAACCTCAGCAACAAACTCCAACGCGTTAAATATAAACCAGCAACCAGCAGCTGTTTTTTGAGCATTTGAGAGAGCTAGGCTAGCTCCCTTCCTCCAATTTACACAACAGACTGACTTCAGAGAGCTAGCGGTGATGAAGGCCCCCTGTTGCATCACCTGACGTCTCTGGGTCTAGGCCAAAAAGTTGCGCATAAACACCCCGCAAAGACTACAGCCGATGGCCAATCAGCACGTATTTTTTGCGCCTGCCTGAGAGGAAATAACTGTCCATACCAGCAGATGGCAGTAGTCTATCATTTTCATTCAAAAAGGGAAGTTGGAAGACCATTTTAATGCTAGTTAGCCAGTTAGCACATTAACAACACAATCCAGTGTTGAACGAACGGAGCATATTTACTGCGCACCAGTGAACAATAACACAAATCATCAGGAGACATTTCTGCTAAAGGCTCAGTGGCTAAAGAAAAATAATCTTACCTTATGTAACAAGTTTATTTTGGTCTGACTCTCGTTTAATTTTGGCTGTTTGTTTACTTTCCTCACTTCCATTTCTCTTCTTGTGCAATGAGCTGAACTGCCAGTCAGAGTGATTTCACTCACCGACACGCTTATTGTCACCGACACTAATTCAGCATGCTGAATTGGCCAAAAAAAAGCCACCGGGGGCGAAAGAGGGGCAGCGGTGCAGGACACACCGCAGCCACAAGGGCCATGGACGCTCACTGACAGCCCAACATTGACCGATGGCCAACCATTGGCTTGATGTGTCGGAGCCTTCACACTTACTTAACTTGTCATCTGACTCCTGGGAAGAGAGCATATAGGCGTACAACATCCAAATTGTTGAACTATGTCATAAAAAAAGTGTGTTATATATCTAAATCCAGTTCTTTGTTTCCTCTTCCAGCTATGGATACAGCGACATTGTCACAATTCCTGTTGGTGCTACCAACATTGACATCAAACAGCGGAGCCACAAAGGAATCAAACATGATGGGAACTACCTGGCTATAAAGAAGGAGGGTGGCGGCTACATACTCAACGGGAACTTCTCTGTATCCACGGTGGAGCAGGACATTCCTGTGCTGGGTGCGGTGCTAAAGTACAGCGGCTCCTCCACCACACTGGAGAGGATCCAGAGCTTCAGGCAGCTGAAGGAGGCCATCACTATACAACTCCTTGCCACTGCGGGAGACGCCAACCCTCCCAAGGTCAAATATACCTTTTTCATCCCTAGAGATGTGACCTTCAACAAATCCAAGGAAAAGAAGGGCTCGTCATTGTCTTTGCATGTGATCCATCCATTCGGTGTGCCTGACTGGGTGCTTGGGGAGTGGTCTGAGTGCTCCAAGAGCTGCGGCTCCGGATGGTCCAGGAGGAACGTTGAATGCCGAGACGACGCGGGCTTCCTCTCCAGCCAGTGCGACAAAGACCTGAAGCCCGTAGACATCAGGCCTTGTGGGGATCTGCCATGCCCCATATGGCAGATGGGACCTTGGTCCGTCTGCTCGCGAACTTGTGGTCAGGGAGAGCGCCGCCGCAGCGTCTTCTGCATAGACTACACTGGGAAGACTGTTGAGCCAGAGAAGTGCGATCCGAAAAAAATCCCAGAGCCAGTCTCCGGAGAATGCCTCAACCAAGAGTGCTTATGAAGAACATGAGTATAGTGAACTTTCCCTTTTTGGTCTGACTGCACTTAGCAAACATGGATGGATTACAGAACGGGCACATTGGGCACAGGCCTAGGGACCCAACAGGGCAGGGGCAGAGACACAATATAACCACCAAGAGACATATAACCACACTGACATTAAATGACTACAAAGAGACACATAACGAATACAAACGAATGCATAACAACTACAAAGAACATCTCTACTTTATTTTTGTGTCTCTGAGATTCTGAGAGTTCTGGTCCAGCTGTAAAAGTAAAAGTTTTTGTGTCTCTTTCAGTCTGGAGGTCTTGCTTCTATGTAGGAGGGGTGGGGGGACCTTTTACATGTCTGTGCCCAGGGGCCCATTGCCTCATAATCCGTCCATGCTACCAACTGGTCACATCAAGTCACATCAGGGGCATTTGCCTGAATATTGTTTGGTCTTCTTTTGTTGACATTTGACAACCACTATAGAGATTTGTAACGGTGGAAATCTACCTCAGAATGTACATGTGATGCTATGTATAGATACGAGATGAAGGTGCTGTGTGTACGTTTTCTCCAGAAAGAGAAGTTCTCGCCCCACTTAAAGCAGAAACTAACTTTTTGGATGAAGTCTGGTATAATCTGCACTGTGTCTTGCTAAGTTAGGTATCATTTAAAGTGGGGCTGGGACAAAGGCATTAAATCTGCTGTCAGACACCAGCACAGTGTAAATATACCTCCTATTGTCCTCCACAGAACTCAGACCCCTATAAAACTCTGATCGAGCCATTTACTGCTTATTGAGGTAGATACATATGATTGGTGCATTGGAATTGTAAAGGGATGGGTCAGATTTTTTGAAGCAGAGTTGTATGGGGTACTTATCTATAGACAGTATGTTATATACAGTAGATGTGAGTCGACATGCCCCCAGTGTGGAGAAGCAGGCTGGTGTCGAACATGGAAACTAGGCCTACTGCTGTGGATGGGAGGAGCAGCAAAACACACTTTAACCACCTTTAAGAGGCGTACCTAAAGAAATCTACCATTTAGAATAACAAAAAAACAAGTGGTTAATAAGGAACTGATGACGAATGACTGAGTTACTATTAGTTCATGGTCAGTTCTTGACGAACTCCCAGTCAAATGTCAAACACAAGCTAATCATCAGTTAATAATTGGTTAATCGTTTTTTGTGTACCTTATTGTTAAGTGTTACCAAAAAAACAACAGGAAAATGACGCCATTATAACGCTTTCCCTTATGCCAGACTCCACTGAGAAAAACATTGATTTAAGATCACTGAACACACGAGCTGCTGGTCTACTGCCGCCTCACACAGTTTTTGTTTTTTTGTTATTCTGTGACTTGGCATTTTAAGAGGTTAGTTTGAAATCACCAAAGTCACAAAATAACACATATTAACAAACTAATCGAAGCAGCTAAATTTACTGTTTTTGTCAATGGAGTCTGGTGGCTTCGACTGATAATGATTTCATTAGGTGGGACTTTTTTAGGTAGCTAAAATGTGTTTTTTTTTGCTACCCCCACCCACAGCGGTACATTGTTTAGCTTCCATGTCAGACTCAAGCCTGCCTCTCCAAACAGGGGGTGTGCCAACTCACATCTACTGTCTGTAGCACACTGACTATCCATGAGTGCCCCATACAGCCCCACTTCAAAAACTATTCCTTTAAGCCTCTGGGAAATGTGTTCCTGTTTGATTGCTTCTCTTTTCTACACAAAATGTGTTGTGATAAATGATTGTGATGAAGCTGTCGTGTTTTTACCTTGAAAATCTGCATTGTTGAACTGAAGGAAAACCCATTCAGTGACGCTAAATCTGACCTTACAGCCTACATCAGAACAGATTGTTTCAATGCTGAACTAGACTTTAGAATTAACAGATGTCGATAAAGTTTGAGTTTACACGGTGTGTAAAATGAATTAGCATAGATAATGACTGGTCCTTCATGACCAGAGAAACAGAGAGAGAATATTCCTCTGCCCTGTAGTTAAATTTAAGCCTTTCCCCAGGTGCTGTTGAGAGGAACAGTGGTACAAACAACCTGAAATGCAACAAATGTTTATTTGGAGGAATTATTACTAACTTAAGTGATAAGCATACTATCTATCATGTATATGAAAAATAACAATTTTATTATTTTCCAGACTTTTATTTGTTAATGCATCATATGCAAATGCTCACAGTTGTTTTCAGACTCTTGTATGTATATTTGATTTCTTCATTCCTGTTGTTAATTTACATTATGTTATAAAACAAAAGAGATGGAGCATTAGGCCGATATCCCTTCAGTGAAGGACCATACTATTTTATTATTACAGCTTCCTTTTTAAGCTATTTATTTTTGTAAAATTTTTACCTTGGACATGTAATTAACATGGCAGATGCTGCTGTCTTTGAGATTTTTGTCTATAAAATGGTCAAATAAACACATTTATGTCAATACATGATTCTCTTTTTCTGTAATTTATCCTCCATGACAGCCAAAAGGAAACTTTGTGTGCGAACCTTGTTCTCTATTTTGCACAAAAGCTTCATTACTTGAGGATCCTTCTGTTCAGACTGGTAGGTACATACCAACGATCGTGGCAGTTTCAGAAGGAGCCATGCTTCAAAACGACCAATAAATTCCAGCGTTCAAGTTTTCCATGTTTTCCAGAGAGCTCTTTCAGACCACTGTGGGCTACTAAACCCCACCAATGAGGGTCAGACTAATGGAATTCTTTTAGGTGGGCAGGCAGCTTTTAAAAGCAGGGCAAGGCAGGTTTCATTGCTGCTTTTACAAACTGAAAGCCCTTAAGATGTTGAGTAAAATCCTCCCACATTGGAATAACTTCTGTGCTCAGACATCTGAAATAAAGACAGCCATATAAAACGTGCTCAGCAGCAGTGGTTAGGGAGGAACCTCCGTTTAACAGGCAGCAGTAGTGACTTAATATCCTACTCTTAATGTCAGTCTTATTCTAGTCACAGCTGACTGAGCTTAGTGGATGTAAAAAACCCAGTGGGTTACAAATGTCAAAAAGAACGTGATATCATATACAGATTTTGGTTTGGTTTGGGTCACCGACAACATTTATTTATAAAATCTAACATATTAGACTAATGTGAGTGTGAATGGTTGTCTGTCACTGTATGTCAGCCCTGTGATAGTCTGGCAACCTGTCCAGGGAGAACCTGCCTCTCGCCCCTCACAAACTAAAACTAGAATTACCACCTTGCAGTTGTATGCCTCAACGAACCCGCCAAGTTGCACTTACATTACATCCATGAAGGTCAACTTCACTCTGACATTATGATGTCAGAGTAGGGTGACCATATTTTGATTTCCAAAAAAGAGGACACTCGGCCGGCCACGACATAGCCTACTTAAATGATACTCGCAGTTTACTCAAAGATGCCTTATAATTTTAATATATTTAAAATTTATATGTATGGATAGAAAATTCAGTTATATTACAAAATAATATCTCTCAAAGACAGAAATTCAGATAGGCCCCAATAGGGACACATACACACACTAGAGTGTGGCGATCCGAGCCCGACGGTACCCGACAGGTCGGGCCGGGTTCGGTCAAAAATGTAGCTATAAATTGTATTCGGTCGGATTCGGTCAGCTTTCAGTGAAAATGTAGTGTAAAAATACATAAAATCCTATTGTCTGTCCTGTTTATTGCTTGGGCACTGTTATTTACGTGACAACACCTGAACATAACACACACAGACACACATTGGCTGTTTGTTTCTACCTCTCTCCTCGCTGGAAGCGTCGGACCTCCCGCCTCCCGCTCCCGTCTCAAACACGGAGGTCTCCCTCTCTGCTGAGCACGCCCGGCTTGTTAAATAGCCTGTAACCGTAACAACTGTGTGACACAAACTCAGTGCTTTGGTCATTAAATAATGTCGGGCTCAGTTCGGGTTCAGACAGAAATATGCAGTCCGTGCCGCATTCTAACACACACACACAAACACACGGAAAACCGGACATTATCATCAGTTTATAAAACCCCCCCCAGACGCCCCGTACGGGACGTGAAAAGTGGACATGTCCGGGCAAAAGAGGGCGTTTGGTCAGCCTATGTCAGAGCGAAGTTGACTTTCAGCCTTTTGCATATAAAATGTCATCACTTCATCATTTTATCCTATTGGACGTTTGTGTGAAATTTTGTCATAATTAGCGAATGAATGAATGAACGTTTGTGTCACATTTGAGGAAATTCCCTCAAAGCTTTCTTGAGATACCATGAAATTCACAAAATGAGATGGAGACTGACACAAGCTCATGGTGGCCTTTGACCACCAAATTCAAATCAGTTCATCCTTGACTCAAAGTGAATGTTTGTGCCAAATTTGAAGAACACTTCTCTCAAAGTGTTCTTCAGATATCGCTTCCAAAAGAATGGGATGGATGCAAGGTCATAGTGACTTTGACTTCTGACCTTTGACCACCAAAATCTAACTTGTTCACTCTTGAGTCCTAGTGGACATTTGTGCCAAATTTGAAAAAAAATCTTTCAAGGTGTTCTTGAGATATTGTGTTCATGAGAAAGAGACAGATGAGGTCACAACAACCTTGACCTTTGACATACATGTATGACCCCCAAAATCTAATCAGTTCATCCTTGACTCAAAGTGAATGTTTGTGCCAAATTTGAAGAAAACTTCTCTCAAAGTGTTCTCCAGATATCGCTTCCAAAAGAATGGGATGGATGCAAGGTCATAGTGACTTTGACTTTTGACCTTTAACCACCAAAATCTAACTTGTTCATTCTTGAGTCCTAGTGGACATTTGTGCCAAATTTGAACAAATTTCCTCAGTGTTCTTGAGATATCGTGGTCATGGGAATGGGATAGATGGACATAATGCCTCCAGCCACAGCTACTGCACTAAGGCATAAAAAAAAAGTCGACTTAAAACAGCCTGCTTTATTAATTTTTCCCACTTATGGCAGGACTATCATACAGTTTGTAGATTTGCAACAGGTAAGAACTACGCAGGCAGAACTAGTGTGTTCTCATAAAGACGTGATGACATCGCATTACCCCAGTCCTGGCCTCTCTCCACTGGCTTCCTGTGCATTTTAGAATTGATTTAAAGATTTCACTGATCACTTTTAAAGCTCACGTGGGTCTGGCCCCATGCTAAATAACAGGAACGTCGATACCATATGAGCATGTTGGTAACCTAAGATCCTCAGATGGGGCCCTTCTGGTTGTTCCAAAGTCGAGGCTTAAATATAAAGGTGACCGTTCTCTTGCCATCAGGGCCTCTTCCATTTAAGAGCGACCTTCCTGAAGAGATAAGGCTCGCAGGATCGATGACTTCTTAAAACCCCTTTTTATAGACTTGCTTTCATGCGATGTTATCTTTTTATTTTGTTTTATTTACGTTTTAGTTATTTTATTTTGTTGTTTTATTGCTTTTGGTCATTTTATTCTTATTCATTTTTACTCACATTTTGTGTCCTGCCTGTTGCATTTTTTTTGTCCTCCTGTTTTAACTTTATCTGAACTACTTTTGTCTGGCCTATGTTTGGTAGGACTGTTTGGCTTTCTGTTGTTATATTGCTTGCCTGCTTTTGCTTTGCTCGTCAAAGCCCTTTGTAAACTTTGTTTTTAATTGTGCTATATAAATAAAGTTATTATTATTTCATTTCTACAGCAAAAGGATATAGTTATATCACACAAGATACAAGTCAAGAAACGTTAGACAGTTATAGGGTTGCAAACAGTATGAGGTTTTCACGGTACGTTAACTGACCCAGGTCTCACGATATCACAGTATTACAAAATGTATAATATTATCAGTCACAACACCTAAAAGAGTGAATGGAAGGGATATTGTTGGTTGTACAAATACCTATAATCAAAACAACTTGAAACCATTTTGAAAACATTTTGTTAATAGGACGGTTTGATAATCTTCAACTTTATATCATGGTATACTACCTGGAAACCTATCGCTGCAACCCCAGACAATTACAAAAGGGTTTGGGGCAATATGTACACATGTTCTAATGTGTCAGTTAATTGAAATAGGTGTAAATGACTTTTCCCCAATTTGAGAATAGATTAAAACATTTAAGTTTCCTGTATCAAAATATGAGGAACAGTAATTTACAGGCAAACTCTAATTGTGCATGTTATGATTAGACTAACAGGTGTACAGAAGTTCATACACAGTATATAAATGTATGTAAACAGTGGGAATTAGTGAGCAGTGTGTGAGTTGTGCTGTACATGAAGCTAGATGTGACACTTCCTGTTTCTTACTGTACAGTACCGTGAGATGCGCAGTGCATTCTGGGGATACAAATAGAGCGCAGAAAGGACAGCGGGGAGCACAAAGGAATGAAAACAGCACCTCGGAAACTTTCAACCTCAGCCCGCTGTGATGTGAATTCATGTGAGCGCTAATTAAACTGTGACTTTCGGTGGCTGGCAGGCTGACAACTGCCGGAGAGGCGCAGGGAATGTGAGTGGACGGAGTGAAGCGGCAGGGCGCACCGCTGTCTCCGACGCTGCTTTTTGTCAGCTGAGCTGTTCGCATCCCGAGGCCCAGCCGACATCACGGGCCGCATCCCACAAGGTAAAGCCCCTTCTTACAGTCTGACGGATAACGGTGTCCGCCATGTGTGTACTTTAATACGGCTACACTGTTTTATAAGTGGTGTTAAAGGCAAAGGAACCAGCGACCAGTGATGTGTTGTGTCGGCTAGCGCTAGCTTCGTAGCTAACGGTGCTAATGTGCTGCGTCGACGTTTCCAGGGTTATCCACGGTCAAACCGGAAATGAGGCTGACTCTGCTTCAAAATAAAGCGAGTAACTTTAATTAGAATTATTTTCTACTTAACTTTCATCAGTTTCTTTTCAATTTAAGTTACGTTAAACGTAGGGCATAATGTCACCTCAATGTATCAGCACAAGTGTGTTGAATAACATCAGCTAAAAGGCAATTCAGTGTGGGCTTGTCTTTTGTTTTGAAAGTTAAAACCGGATGTACTTTTAATCTCCCGTTTGACTTCACGTATCAGCGTGACTCTTTTAGCTAGTGTTTGCTGAGCTGTGATTGTTGTTGCAAAGATGTTTGTTCAGCATCTTTTTCACCAGACACTTAACCCCCCATGCCTTGTATACATACAGGCTGTCTGCCGTCTGTTTCCACGCTGTCCACCAGCCGTGGCAGCCTGTCTGAGCCCCAGCGCTCTGTGGCCACTGTCCTACGTGATGTAAACAGAGTAAAAGTACCATGTTGATGGCTACGCCTCCTCTGCTCCATCGCCATCATGGTATTTTGTAGTGAACTGGGATAGTGTATAATTGTTGCTTCTGACTCTTAGTTACACAATCATTGATCAATCTGTTGATCTGTGAGTATATAAAACTATTTATAAGTAAGAACAAGTAGCCCAGTGATGTCTTCATATAGTTTATTTTGTCTGACTCAAAGAAGAAAACAAAGGTGCTCAGTTTAGTGAAGTGAAACAAACAAAAACTGAAATGATCCAGTCATCACATACAAGAAGCTAAATAAAATGTTCTTTTTTCCTCATGAATGTCATTATCAAAAAAGTCATTTGATCAATTCAGGCTATTTATTTATCACAGTATAGTATCAAGATACTTTGCTGGGCATTATTCTATCAAAACATGGTCGCCATGTATTGATTTTTAGTACAAGTTCAACTTTTGGTAGCCTACTAGTCTAATAGAAATAATTTAATTTTCAGTCCACTAGATACATTTTGCTGTAATAAAAGTGATTTTAAGTGAGATGAACAAACTGAAAACTTATCTCAGATATACACAAAGTTTTGCTTTGGGGCATAATTTGCAGTTCATAAAAGGCAATATATTGCAATATATGTTAATGCAATACTCAGCATATTGCATGGCATTTAAAATCGCAGTAATATTGTGTCGTGACTTAAATATCCTGATAATAGAAAATGTTATCGTGGGGCCTGTGATAATTTCCACCCCTTATGTACGTTTAAGCCACCACATGGTCTTTAAGATTTGAGATTGTCTTTAAGGAGGAGAAAAAGATAAAGCAAAATGTATTTGTTTCAATTTTTTTAAAGCAAAGTTTTCAGCATGATTGTACAGGGTTCCCACGGTCATGGAAAACCTGGAAAAGTCGTTGAATTTCCCAGTAACATTTGCCAGGCCTGATGAAAAGTCATGGAAAAGTTTTAAGATTTTGTCCAGGAAAATGTGTGGGAACCCTGTATATATAGTTACATATTTTTAAGCCACCAGATGGTCTGTAATATTTATGTTGTTTATGTTTTTACTTTTTTAAAGCAAAGTTTTCAGCATGATTGTACAGGGTTCCCAGGGTCATGGCACACTAGGAATTTCACATTTCCAGGTGTGGAAAATCATTGAAAGTTTTGGAAAAGTCAGCAAATTTTGTTGTTTGTGTAATGACATTGTCGCGGTAATCTTTAATGAATAACCTTCAATGTAATGTAACAAAAGGTAAATTTATTTTCTGTAGCTGTCGATGTAACGTTGCTCTAATATGCGTCTGTTTAATGTTTTAAAATCCTGTATGATTTATCATTTGTTTTCCCCTGCCTTCAGTTTCTCCCTATCAAATATGCCTGCTTGTTGAAATTCTGTTTGAGCAGATTTTAAGTCTGATATATTTGAAAAACTCCAGGCAAGTGGGTCAAGAAAAAAAAAGATTATTATGGGTCCCTGAAAAGTCGTGGAAAAGTTTGGAAATTTGTCCATGAAAATGTCTGGAAACCCTGATGTAAAATACTCGTGTATGTATGAATGTGTCCTCTCTTAAAGATGTAATTCATGCCAGACGTGTTATTTTTTTTTTATAAAAATCAGGTCGTTTTGTTTATTATGCATCATTGCTCTCTCAAGTTCATGTACTCTAAATTCCTCTTTGTCAGGAAGAACTTAATAGAGATCATGTAGCTGAATAACTGTCCGACAGGAGACATTTCAGCCTTTAGAAAACCCCAGGGTGGAATCTAAGCTCTTTTCTCTCAGCCCTGTTTGCTGGTGCAGACTAGGCACTCTCCTGTTGCACCTCCGCAGCCCTGGTCTATAATTCACTTTGTCTTTACTGGGCCAACATAGCCCAAGAGTATTTTCCTGTGGTCTCTGTGTGTGTGTGTGTGTGTGTGTAAAGGGGAGTGCGCTCTCCCTGCAAGAGCCCCTTTACTTGAGCTTTTGTTTGATGGAAAATCTCATGCCTCAGAGAATCCACATGTCTCGCAGACAGCTGCTGAGCATCCTGTAGTGCACTGGCCTCCACATGGGTCTGGCTCGCATCGCTGCGCATCTGCTTTGATTGTTGTTACATAACTTGGCATTTTGTCCTTCGTGCTCCCTACCCAGCTTTCACCCCCCCTTACCTTGCCTTCCCCTCAAAGAGAACCTTAGTATTTTTCTCTACCTACACCCACTGCCTTCCACAATGCACTTGCCTTATGCGATCCTGTCCCTACCGTGGGACTGGTGTTTTGCAGAGTGCTATTTGACATCTTATTTGTCTTCTTAGTTTTCTAATGGAGTGGTTCAGTGAGAGTCCACTCTCACATCTGTTATTTCACACCTGATTCTTTAACTGCTGAGGCTGGATTTTGTTTAGTTAATCATTAGACACATTAACATTGCTTTATACAAACACTAATGATATTAAGGATTTGACACATAAGAATAACGATCTTTACGTTTTCTTTTCCTACCAGAAATTGATCTTTGATTCCTGAGATACAGTTCATGTGGTTTAGATTTTGCAAAACTGAAAGTGCTTTGTTTTTTTCCCATCTCTCTGCAGGACCTATTTCCTGTACACAGTCATAAACTGACTCCAACATGGGGGTCAAAACCTTCACCCACAGCTCGACCTCCCACAGCCAGGAGATGCTGGAGAAGCTCAACGCTTTGCGCAACGAGGGTCACTTATGTGATGTCACCATTCGGGTCCAAGACAAGCTCTTCCTGGCCCACAAAGTGGTCCTGGCCTGCTGCAGTGAATTCTTCCGCTCCAAACTGGTGGGCCGGCCAGAGGAGGAGGACAAGTTTGTGTTGGATCTTCATCACGTGACCGTCAGTGGCTTCGCTCCCCTGTTGGAATATGCTTACACGTCCACCCTCTCCATCAGCACGGAGAATATCATCGACGTTCTGGCTGCTGCGAGTTACATGCAGATGTTTGCTGTTGCTAGCACATGTTCAGAGTTCATGAAGTCTAGTATTCTGTGGGGCCCGGGTAACAACAGCAACAATAACAATATATCGGCAGACAAACCGCATGAATCAGCACCAGAGAGCGCCTCATCAAACTGTGCCCTGACGCCGTTGGACGGCAGCGTGTCACCTGTTTCGTCTGACTGCAGCGTGATGGAGAGAAACGTTCCTATATGCCGCGAATCGCGACGGAAACGCAAAAGCTTTGTGACAATGGCATCGCCGGAGAGTCCACTCAAATGCACTACACAGATGGTCACCACCTCCCCTCAGATCCCCAACCCATCCCCTTCTTTCTCAGACAGCACAGCCCAGCCCGTGGAGTCCTCCCTGGCCTTCCCATGGACTTTCCCGTTCGGTATCGACAGGAGGTTCCACTCAGACAAATCAAAGCTCCCGGAGAGCCCTCGTTGTTTAGAGCAGGGCACCCCGGGGACCTCGGAGGTGGTAGTCGGCCGGCGGCTCAGTGACTTCCTAACGTGTGAGAGCTCTAAAGCGGTGTCGTCGCCAGTGCCGGCGGAGGAAGAAGATGTGAGGGTGAAGGTGGAGCGTCTCAGTGATGAGGAGGTCCAAGAGGCGTCCTCGCAGCCGGTCAGTGCCTCCCAGAGCTCGCTGAGTGACCAGCAGACGGTGCCAGGGAGCGAACAGGTCCAGGAGGAGCTCCTCATCAGTCCACAGTCCTCCTCTATAGGTGGGGCTAGACTCCTTTTATATTTCTTTCCATTTAAATGATCCAAAGCATTTCAAATTGACCTCTTAACCTAAAAAACTATTGAGGACTCTATAAGTTGTTTGTCAAAAAAAAAAAAAATTGAAAAAAAAAAAACAAAACAGATGCAGGCAGACTATTCACTCAGCTTATGGAGTTTTAGCATTAGCTTACTAGCTCCAGCTGATGAAATGTGCTCGCAACAATCATTATTTCTGCCACCAAATTCATGTCCGCTCCTTAGACATGAGATCAGCATGTCTTTGTGAAATCAAGGACTCTGTATAAAAGAATGACTAAGAATTTTGATGATAAATGTGCCACCTTTTGTAAACTACACTTCTGTCATGAGAGAGGTAGTTACTAAGGGGAACGGGACGTCTTAAGTAGTTCCATGGATGAAGTTCAATCACACATCAGTGTTACTGTATCTATCACTGTTATGACAGAGGTTGCATCCTGACCCAGTTAGCGCTGTGTTGCTTTGTAAAACGTGCCTCCCTCAGACCTTTTAATGAAAAGAAAAATTAAAACACATGAATTTTTTTCCATCATGGTTAAATTGCACAGTGAGTTTGAATCTAGCGGCGTCCATCCTTAAAGCTGTTTTCAGCCCCCAAAGACCTGCAGGCCACCCCCATCCACCATGCTGTAGACTTTATTCTGTCGTCAGGTGTTCAGCAGACAGCCACACATTAGTAATTTTCTTTCTTCCTCTCTCCAGGGTCGATGGATGAAGGAGTGTCTGAGGGCTTGCCGTCAATGCAGAGCACCTCTAACACTGGAGGCCACGCGGAAGACGATGAAAGGTATCGTGGTCTGTTACAACTTGCAGGGAGGCACGTCGTATGCAGTAAAGAATATATAGACGTAAACCTCATAACTGTGTGTCTGAGCCACACCTGTTTAGATCATAAATTTTGGTGTCATGTTGAAATGTCAGAGACATGATGAACTATAATATGAAGAATGCAGGTTGCTTGAGCCACAAACATGAGTGAAAGATTTTATGTGGAAGGTAACGTGGCATTTAACGGGAAATCCATGAACGTCAACCAATCTGACGCACATCACCATCATTACCAACTTCACAGTGTTAAACAAACATCTTACAGCTTTCTCTGTAATGTCGGGCCTTTCCCAAACCGCCCCCTGCACCCTCTCCTGATCCACTTTCACTCCGTTCACGCAGGGTCCGCCACATTGAGTGCCGTCCCAAACCAACTAGTGAGGAGTGGAAGTGAGTTACAAAACCCTCCAACAGCGAGTCTGCACCGATGTTGTCTTACTGACCATGTGCAGCGCCGTATTGAGTTCGTCATGTAAGACGCTCCGTACAAATAAAGTTCATCGACTACCCTTACAAACGTAACCTGCTCAAACTACCTATTGTCATGCAGACAATTAAATATGAGTGCTACAAATACATCTGAAGAACATAGAACTGGATTAAGCTGTGTTTTTCTGCATGGTTACGAAAAGTTACGACAGTTCCTCTTCCCCGCCCCAGAGAGGGAAGCTTGTCCTAAAGCTTGCTGCTGTGTTTATGCTCTACACCTATCCTCTCAGCTGTGAAGGTGTCAGAGTGACACTCAAAGACAGAGTGGGAGTGAGTTTTAGAAAGGCCCGCAGTGGTCACTTGACATAATTTATAGTGAACCCTTTGGCCCCTTAAACCTCTCAAGCTATAACCTTTAAGCATGCAAGGAGATTACCCTTGTAGAGTTAGTTTCTTGACATGTCAAAGTAAATGTTTTTATGATTTCAGGTTGTTCGTCCATCTGTATCTGTCTCATTCTCATGAAAGTGATATCTCAAGAAGGCCTTGAAAGAGGTTTCTCAAATCTGGCACAAACATCCACTTGGACTCAAGAATGAACCGAGTCTATGTCCCCTTACTGCTATCTTTGGTGTGTCTCCTCTTGAGGGCAGGCTAACTAAATACCAAGCTGATTTTGTTGCGTTTGCTGCCCTCATAGCCAAATGGTGCATATTGCTACAGTTGAAGAGCCCTGACCCCCCTGGCACAACTTCTTGGTTAAAGGATTTAATGTCTTTGCTCCACCTAGAAAAAATCACATACACGGTCAGAGGATCTGTGAAAAGATTCCACAAAACTTGGGACCCCTCTCTCCTATATTAACTCTCTAACTCAAATAGACAACTAGGACATTCGGGAAGGTGGGCGGGAGGGTGATTTTGAGGTGATTGGTTCGTAATGTGATGTTTGTTTCTACTTTTGTTCATGGGATAGAAAATTCACACTCTAAAATATATCACACTTCTGTTTTGCAATGAGTACCTGCACAGAATTTGGTGTTCAAAGGTCATTATGCCATCATAATGCTCCATATAATACATTTTTCTGGCCGTTATTCACGAGGTCAGACGTCAGACACTGAATTGGTGATCCTGATCTTGGGTGTCCACCTAGGAACTGTGCTGGTTGCTTAGATCTTCTCCTCTCTCCTATATTAACTCTCGAACTCAAATAGACAACTAGGACATTCGGGAAGGTGGGCGGGAGCGTGATTTTGAGGTGATTGGTTCGTAATGTGATGTTTGTTTCTACTTTTGTTCATGGGATAGAAAATTCACACTCTAAAATATATCACACTTCTGTTTTGCAATGAGTACCTTCACAGAATTTGGTGTTCAAAGGTCATTATGACATCATAATGCTCCATATAATACATTTTTCTGGCTGTTATTCACGAGGTCAGACGTCAGACACTGAATTGGTGATCCTGATCTTGGGTGTCCACCTAGGAACTGTGCTGGTTGCTTAGATCTTCTGTGCTGCTGGGGGGAAGATGTGTGTGAAGCCACCATGTTTTCACAGACATGGATGTAAACTGTAAAAGCAACTTGACTGGTGTGCAGAGGTGGTATTTCTAGTTCTTTCAGTATACCAGTGACTTAACATTCATAGTGGTCCCGTTTCTCCTAAAACGTATGCAAGTAGACAAGCAGATTAATCTTGGACAGTTAATATCTTGTCATGAGAATAAACGTTTTTAAGTATTTAAGTTGTATGTGCTCTTAGTTAATGTTGAAAAATGAATCTGTCCCTGTATGAATATCACTCTGATGTTTGCTCTCTTTGTGTTTCAGGTTAGAAGGTATTCAGTATCCATACCACCTCTATATCAGCCCCTCAGCCAGGCCCGGCACCAATGGCCCCGACAGGCCCTTCCAGTGTCCAACCTGCGGAGTCAGATTCACACGCATTCAAAACCTGAAGCAGCACATGCTGATACACTCCGGTACGTGGAAACTACAAACTGAATCAAGCTTTGAGAAATTACCTTGGGCAACTTCAGAATGTGAATGTCATCTTGTTTAATTTATGTTAGAAACACTATAGATCACAAGCCGTGTCTAAACAAGTATTCATTCACCCACATTCAGCCGCCCCGGGACATTTTCACATTTCATTGTATTACGACAATGTTAAATATAGTTGATGTAATCACCTTATTTGACCCAGATCAACAGAAAGACAGACAAATGTCAGAGATGTTAATACGTTTGGCCAATACCAGACAGCTATTTTGCAGATTCTAAGAACAAATGGACAATAAAAAGATGTTTAGATGAGTACTTTAATTTAGCATTTAGCATTTTGTTCCTTTGACACTGTCTGACTCAAAATGGAGCTTAAATGTCCTGGCACACCAAGCCGGCAATTGGCCGTCAGTCAATGTTGGGCCGTTGGTGAGCATCTGTCGCCCTAGTTGGTGCAGTGTGTCCTGCACTGTTACCCCTTGTTGGCCTCCGTCTGCTTTTTTTGCCCAATTCAGCATGTTTAATGGGCGTCAGGACCGCTGGTGAATGAAATCACTCTGATTGGCAGTTCAGCTCAGTGCACGAGAAGAGAAACGGAAGTGAGGAAGGTAAACAAAGAGCTAACATCAAGAGGGAGTGAGACCAAAACAAACTTGTTATACAAGATAAATTATTTTTCTTTAGTCACTGAGCTCTTTAGAAGAAATGTTTTGTGACATTTTGCGTTGTTGTTCATTGGTGCACGGTAAATATACTCTGTTCTTTCAACATTGGATTGTATTGTTAAAGTACTAACTGGCTAACTAGCATCAAGATGGTCTTTCAGTTTCCCTTTTTGAATGACGATTAGAGACGACCGCCGTCTGCCGGTGTGGAGAGTTATTTCCTCTCACACAGGCACAGAATGTACGTGCTGGTTGGTCGTCAGTCGTAGTCTTTGCGGTGTGTTCTTGTGCCACTTTTTGGCTGAGTCACGGCTACTTCAAGCGAGGCAGCAGGGGGCCTTCATCGCCACTAGTTCTCTGAAGTTAGTTTGGTGTGTCTGGGTCTTAAAAAAGAAAAGTCAAATATATTCCAGGCATTTTAACTTATCAAAACCCAGTACCATAATGCCACTTGTCTACTAACAGTCACATGGGAAATTTGGGTGTATTATGCCTTTTTAGACTTAAAGTTCTCAGCCCCACTCACACTGACTCAATTGACATCACTTGAAGATTTATTAGACTTCCTACAGCTCTCTCTGGAGACACAGAAGGCTTCATACAACTTTTCTGCACATGTATCGGTACTCCCCAAACCTATAACACTCTCTGTATGATATGTATCTTAAGAGTTTCTCCAAGGTGCATTATATTTGTATTTATTTGGATCAGTCTGTATTTATTTGGATCAATTTGTCACATTAAGATTTACGTCTTTTTCAGTGTCTATTAGGGAAGAAAAAAAAACGCCAATTTACATCCACTGTGAGTCGATGTTCAAAAAAAGTAAAGAATTTATCTTAGGGGGAGAAACCCATTCACAGGCTGTGCATCTTGCGTATTAGGAAATTTCGAGGGAACTTTTGAAAGCATGCCATTATAAGATGTTTTGGATGTTCTGTCCTCAGTTATTTTTAGCTCATGAAGACACTGTACAAACTATCGTGCTGGCACTCTTCACTCATATTACAACACATCTTGCATTTCAAATATTTTGTTACATCATAAGTTAAGTGAAATTGGAAAACAGGTTTGGAAGCTAAGCAGATGTCCTGAGATTGAAAGGGTACTAAATCACAACCACTGCTTCTCCACCGAGTTATATCTACAGAACATTAAACACACTGGTGTTTCTGGTGGTTTAAATCACCTGGTCTGTTTGTTTTGGAGAGGAAGAGACCTCTGTGGATAATTTGGCTGGTGATGAAAACCTCCTGAATGTATGGATCTTATGTTATTAGAGAAAAAAGGTGACCACACATCAGCATGTGTTGGTTTACATTTTTGAGGAACTGCAGTTTGAGCCCCAGATGTTGCTTCTTGGTGATGCTAATGCGCAGATCAACTGAACTCAGTATTTTTCTTTTCTCCCCCCAGGCATTAAGCCTTTCCAGTGTGACCGCTGTGGGAAAAAGTTCACACGGGCCTACTCCCTAAAGATGCATCGGCTGAAGCACGAAGGTAAACGCTGTTTCCGGTGCCAGATTTGTAGCGCCACATTCACGTCCTTCGGTGAATATAAGCACCACATGAGGGTCTCCCGACACATAATCCGCAAGCCGCGGATTTACGAGTGCAAAACGTGCGGGGCCATGTTCACCAACTCTGGCAATTTAATTGTACACCTGAGGAGTCTGAACCATGAGGCATCCGAACTAGCAAACTACTTCCAGAGCAGGTGAGGAGTCTGGGGACGCTGACCCCCATCATTTACTCAGATCTCACCTGGATCAGACAATTCAGTTCAGATTCTAATACCTGAGGTTCATTTGATCGTTTTTCCTTTGATGACTTTGGTTGTGTAGAATTGTTTTGAGATGATTGCAATTGATTCGAATGCTCTGATCAAGTGTACCTGAAGTATTTGACTGCATTTATTGGGGAGTTTTAATTTCACTGATTTAAAGGAATAGTTTGACGCCTTCGGAAATAGGCTTATTCATTTTCTTCCCAAGAGTTAAATAAGAGGATAATACCACTCAGAGAGAGTGTTATCAGTCATCTCATGTGACTCTCAGGAAGAAAGCGAATAAGTGTATTCCCCAAAATGTTGAATCATTCCTTTAACATTGCAAAGAGATGGTAAATACTATGAATTTCCATGAGATGTGAGGATGAAGTCAAGCACACAATATGAAATGAGTTAGGTTTTCTGAATACACTGCCCAGTTGGAAACAAAAACACCTTAGCTTTACCTTACCTTACCTTTAGTGTTGTTTAAATCACTCACTGTGTAGTCCTGCTCTTTGCTCATGAGGGAAACACCTTCACCTTTCAAACACTCTCAAACGTTGGACCTTACAATAGCTGCAAAACACTTAAATCATTTTTGTTTCAACCAAACGAGTGGGTTGTTTGTTTTTATCAGCAGCTCTGCCCGCACAGCCTCGTGAAAGTCAGAACACAGTGTCTTTATAAAGTGGAAGAGTGTTTTTATTTCCCAGACTTTTCCACTTCTTAATCAACTCAAGCCCTCACAGGTCGGCAGGACTCAAATGGGCCATTGACTCCTCAAGAGTTTTATAGTAGAAAGTCTACGCCTGAGATCATAACGGTGTGGAAAATTCTCTGGCAAACCAGTCAGACTCTTAACTGCCATCCTCAGTCTTCACATAAAAAGATATGTTAACTATGCTGTATTCTTTTTCCGGGGAGTTGCTGATTTGCAGAACAGTATGTCACATTCAGCTGTCGTCTGTGCTTCAGAGGACAGTTACACTTGACCTTAACTATTTACTCTGGATTCTGCTCCGTGTCCTGCTGTGTTTCATAGTCTGTACATTAGGGATGCACCGATATGGATTTTCTTTCAACTGATCATGATAACCGATATCTACCTGCTTCTCATGTCTTATAACTGATAGGATAACCAATAACTTCACATTTTTGTACTTTAAAGAGAAGTGTATAACCTGTAGTTCAAGTTCACCTGAGGGCAAGAAAGGCTACGATGTAGTGAGAAAATATTCCATAGCTCTGACCTAACCAAACCTGACTGACATCACTAGTGTGAACAAATACAAAGAACAGTGGTGGCTTTTCCATACCTGCCAATAATCAGGCCTACCCTCACTATGCCTGCACCCATATAACCCTACACTACAGATGAACATAATGAATACAAAGATGTGAAAGTAAAATGACTTTTAATCAGTATTAAATTTATAGTTAATGGTAAGACAGAGGGAGATTATGGAGCCTACTGTTTAATTCTCTGTTTCTGTAAGGAGAGACCAGGGGCCTCATGTACAAAGACTTACGTGGATTTCCTACTGAAACATGGCGTACGCTTAAATCCAGAAAACGTCGTACGCACAAAAATATCCAGATGTATGAATCTGTGCGTACACATGAATCCAAGCACATTTCCTTTGTACATCCCAATCAACATGGAATTGAGCGCACATGTTGGAGTACCTGGCCCCTCCCTGTCCACGCCTCCATTTAAATATGCAAATCATATTTAAATGAACCCTGCACCTGAGATTCCCCTGTCTGCACGATCAGAAAACTAAAACAAAAGAATGAGTAAGACGGGAAAAAAGAAAAACTTCACAGAATGCGAAATGGAGATGCTACTCACTGAAGTGGAAGCGTGCAAAAATGTACTTTTTGGCACGCTGTCCTCCGGCATCAATACTAAACATAAGCGGAGTGAGTGGGAGTGTGTGTGTGAGGCTGTCAATGCTGTGGGGACAGAAAAGCGTACACACGCAGAATTAAAAAAGAAGTGGTCCGACATTAAGGTGGATGTGAAGTGGAGGACGACTGCCCACCGCCAAAGTGTGGCCAAAACAGGCGGGACGACAGGAGAGGAGGAGCTCACCCCGTTTGAACAGAGAGTCGCCTGGGGTCAATTGAAAGCAGACAAATAATTATGTGAACTGGATTTACAGTTTCCATTTGTTAATTTTATACACCACTTACACGGATCACACACTATTGTTGTAAACGAATGCAGAAGTGCACCAGGGAAAAGGTGTGACTGATTAAGAAATGTCACACTTTACACACGGGTTTATTGATATGAGTACTTTACACACAGAGACAATCAGGGGCTTGTTAGAAAGCTCTGAAGCTGTAGTTTAACCAGCAAAAAACAGAAAGTCACTAACTTTAACCACTGACTAGTACTGATGCTGTGAAGACAGGATAATATTTGGGGGCGCACATGCTCAGTGCGCATCAAGGGGATTAATATTAGGACAATTAAACAAATAAATTATTTACTCACAAGAAGCCACCCATCGCGCGCAGTTCCAGCTAGTAGTCTGTTCCCAACCATGCTGTTACTCAGAATGTAGGCTATGAATCGTGCGTTGAACCAGGCCACCTCGCCACAATGTTGATCAACTGCATTTGCGCATCACATATGATCTGTACATTGATCGAATGAAAATGCTTCCTGTCGACATAAACACATTCATCCTGTGATGGTGCTTTTGTACTATAGCCATGTGTGTGCAGTCAATAGCTCCGATAACGTTAGGAAAACCGGCTGTCACTGCAAATTGCGCTTTAATGTTGGCCTGTTCAGCTGCATTGTATGGGAATTTGATATACCTGGCTGACATGCGGATAATTCAGTCCCACACAGCTGGCATGGCTCGGCTCAGGGTCGACTGGCACAGTCCCGATCGGTCAGCCAGCTCCCTCTGGAATGCCCCTGTTGCTAGGAAACCCCAGTGTGGTCAGCACCTGTATGGATACAGGCAGCGCATGGCTCCTCGCCGTGTCGCTCTGCCGGCTGCAGCTCTGCGCACAGTTCCAGGAGGATTGGCCTCGGGAGCCATCTGTCTCTGAACACATGCTCTCTTCGTATTCCGCCATTTACAAATCTTCTAATACTGCTAAAGCAGCCGTTGTTGTTAACGGTATTTTCGGCACCACTTTGCGCATGCTTTTATATCAACTCATCTAATTAAAGACACAAGGATGTGTTAATAGTTCATCAGTGTTAATTGTTAATGTTTCTCTGATGTGCACATCACTCTGAGGACTAATTGTTTTCACATTTATTTATTATAACAGTTTCCCAGCATCACCTCTAAGTGTCGCCAAAGGATCAACAGCTGTAGAAACGTGCGTACGCCAGCCATGAAGTAGGCGTGAGGCACCGCACATTTCCACGGTCATTTCACTCTTGATACATCTGAACTTTGCCGTGGAAAAGGGCGTACGCCACGTTTTTGTGCGTATGCACCCTTTGTACATGAGGCCCCAGGGGTGTATCATATCATCTCGTTCACGATATTAATGGTGTAATTTTTTAACGTAATTTTTCTAACGTCATACTGTTACCCACGACAACAACAAACATGGCTGAATGTGTAATTATTATTACTCGCGGTGGTTCCAAAAAGAGGAGCAGCTTCAGTAGTGTGGAATAAACTGTGGCGTCCTGAATGTTTTATGAACAGCCCCGGACTTCTCAGACTCTTTTAGTGACTTGATTTTGTCATTAAGCTTCAGTAATGTAAACCTACATGACGCTTGCAGCTCGATTAAAAAAAAACTCCATATATGTGACTGTGTGATAGTTGTGGTATCATAACAGCCTGTCACAGGTTACAGCGTGATGATTAGAGGAGAAATGGCAGAGCATAAAGGTCCAGACACAGATACAGATAATTGCTAACTGTAGCATCTCGTGGCTAGTGGTTATTAATAAATTTAACAACAGAGTCGAGCCTTTTAAAATCTTGGTGTTGGATAGTATCCGCTGCTGCTAATTAGCTCGTGTTAACACTGGTCCTTCAGCGCTGTGTCTAACCTGTGTCAGGAGGTCAGAGATCAGACCCTCGGCGCAATCCTGTTGTCTTCCTCTCACAAACCAAGTTTAAAGGTACGTGCACCGCCACCCACCATGTCAGGTGTGTAGATGCTGCCCTTGTTAAAGCTCCAGTAGGCAACATTGTTTTGGTATAATTGCGGGCTGCTGCGTGGTGAGGGAGAGCGAGGCTCGGGAGTATGTGCGGGGCTGCGAGGGAAGGATGGGGCGGGCTGCTGCGCGGTGAGGGAGAGCTGAGGCTCCCAGAGAGGGAGAAATAGAACCAAGTAGGATAAAATACTCCCGTGCTCGTCTGGTAGGAGGGGCTCAGGGCGGAGACGAACGAAACCTAACTTAGATGAGACTCAAAAATCAACCGTTTTCAGGCTTTCTGCCTACTGCAGCTTTAAGTCAATGAAAGCAGTCTGGCTTCATATTATCGGCGCTATTTACTGGCTATGATTTTAGTTATCGGAATAATGCATTAGTATGAAAATGTCCCCATATCGGCCAATAATTTAAGGGACAGATATATATCGTGCATCCCTACTGTACATGTTAAGTTGCAGGACAGGGGACTCTGATACATACAGCCATGGTCACACTGTGCAGTCACACATTTTAAAGGACCTAGGAGTTAAAATGTAATTGTGTAGAGTATTGTCACATGAAGAGCAGGAGGGACTGAGCCAGGCTGGGAATACATAAGCGTATATATTCAAAATTCATCTAAGAGTTAAGGCAACACTCATCTCAGTGTTAGTGGATGTTAGATGGTTGTTTATCCATGTGCGTTTGTCTAATTGGGTGTTATATGAGGCATTTGTATTGACACATAATCCTCTGGTCCACTAAACATGTTGGCAACATTTAATGTAAACAACCACCCTAATCCACTAATTACACTTAAGCCATCACAAAAAGTTGTTGCCAGTGCATCTTAGATTCCTCAGTTAGGCCTGTTGTGGCCATTTGCACTAATTGGTACCACCCAAGATGGCAGATTCTGGTTTGGTATTTTGAAAAAGTCTGTGTCTGTAGGTGATATTCAAACATGATAACCCTTCACTAGAGGCAGCTTAGTCTCAGGTATCAACCTTCAGTGACACCAGCTGTTAAACCAAAGAGTGACAAATTCTTTTTACTTTAATCAGACAAAAAATGAATTAAATTTTATACATTTTAGGCCTTAAAAGTCATTAAATTGTCTTAAATTTGAATTTGTGAACCTCTAATTCCCGCAAATATTTATCTAATTTCATTTATCTTTATTTTGATTTCTTTTTGTCACAATGATTGGAGCTCTTCTCCCTCAAGATCTCCACATTTCTGATGTTACAAATCTTTAAACCTACCACTGAATATAACACTGTATTTCTACCATCAGTCTTACATTTGGTTCAGTTATCTTGAAAATTTAAATGTCTGATTCATTTAGACAGTCTGTAATATCCATTCTCCAGAACTCTGTTTAATGATCATCTTCTTTGCCATATTCCTCCGTCTCCCACTGATCCCTGCAGTTTATAACTTGCACCTTTCTGTGTACTTTAGTTTGTTGGTAAGGTCTAGCAGTCTGGAAGTGTGCAGGTCCACACACATTTGCAGACCATAAATTCCAGGATGTACATATTTATACTATTTTGTTATTAGAGCAAGATGGTGAACATTTATTTGTTGTATTGCACCATCATCTGCACAAAAGCATGCTTATAAATGCACGCTAATATGCTAATAAATGCTCACCATCTTGCTCTAATGAAATAGTATAAATATATATTTCTAGATATTTGGGCTCCTCACTGAAATGGATGAGAAATGTACTGCAATGTTTCCTTCATCATTTTGACCCTGATAAAGGGCTCAAGCCAAAACCTGTTGATCCTACAATGAAGTTGTTCTGTGTACTCTAAGTGTTGCTGGAGTTTTGAATTCTTAAAAAAAAATGTATTATTATCTTCCAGACAGTTGAATTGAGAAACAAAAGACAATAACTAAGAGACACAAAACTCAACCAAACCAAAAGACATAATAGAAAAGGGGGAGTTACGTTGTAGGGATGGAGAGGGGGGATTGGGATTGGGATTGGAAAGGAGTAGCAGTTTATTTAAATCCTGGTCTAGATTGAAATGATATGCTACGCTTGATGTTGCAGTCATTATTATTAACATTAATTCAATGAAATTAGTTTTGGTCCTTCAGATAAGCCATATTTTATTTGGAACAAAGTCTCTTTGTCTCGATGGTAACCCCAGATTTGCAAAAACTCTGGCAAGATTTCATGTTTCAAGCGATCACTTAAATCCTTTCTATTCAAACCCTAACCAAGTGCTTTTTGTACCTGTACAAAATAAAAATTAAATTGTCTTACTAAATGTGGAAGATCTACATCTTAAACTGTGTTCAATATAATGTTCTCAGTGCCACTGTGCTCAACAAGGCAGCACACAACAGGCAACATCCTGTCTGCCCCTCCTCTCCCCAAACCAAAACATTATACTACAGTAAGACACACTGGGAGGCAGCTACGCTAAGCTAGCTCGCTGCAAGATGGTTAATAACGCCACTGCCAGACCAGAAACAGAAGATCTTCCGATAACCACAGGTCTGGCGTTTAGAGCCTCTTCGGTTTCACTGTTTGCTTCAGGCTGAGAGAGTGAAAGGTACATCAGTGACGTCTGTTTGACTTGTGTTTATATGATTGTGTCATTTAACGGAGATGTTTATTGACTTATTTATTAGATTAAAAGAACTCTGAGAGCTTGTGGCACGTAGCAAACTCACTGCTGACGCACGGTGGGCGCAAGAACCGACACTGATACTATGTGCTCTTATATCAGTAGTGACGTAGTATTTATATAGTAGGGAAGAGGTTATGTTAAGGATGACTCCGGTGCGTCACCAGGCATGCTGTTACGCCCACACAAAAATCCTGGACACAGAAATGGTGAAAAACAGTTTAATGATGTGCTGCACAATTTTCAGACTTTTCATGTTTTCAACAAGTAGTTTAAATGTTTAAAGGTTTGCAGCACAGGACACTAAACTATAACATGATTATAAATGTATCAAGCAGGGTTGAAACAATTAAAAATCTTTGTGGAGGGAGTTAAAGTTGTTTTCTGTGGCCTCTCAAATTAATCAAGGGCTGGAAAATGATTTAAATCATTTTATTTATTTAGGCTGTTAATCTTATTTATGCACAGAGCATCAACAGAGTGGCTGAAGGAGGGAAGGAGCGAGAGACACTTTGCGTTATACACGTCTTGTATATGAAACGTCTTGTCGCTGAATGTTTTAAACCGATCTGTCGCCTGCAAACAGGCGCTGACTCAGTGTCACGCAATAGACTACAACCACCAGGAAGAAACTAGTAGTGCAGCGCTGTCGTGTACGTGTACTATTGCAGTAACTTCATTCATCTCACAGACTGATTTAGCGTAGCACATGTAACTTATAGACCGAAGTCACACTGAGGACAAATGAAGAGACAGATTAAACAGAGGAGCGGCTCTGTGTCTCTGAGTGTTGATGAAGAACTTGTGAGAGAGGAGAGATGCTCACTGGTATGTGTTGTGTAAGGCAACTTGACACTGAGTGTGTTTACATGGACAGTTTAATTCCCTTTTCATTCGGAATGAAAGTTCATTCCTATTAAAAGTGATCTTGTAAATACCTAATTCGGAATGAAAATGGCCAATGCGATTGAAAATTCAATCCGATATAAGGGGCTGGAATATTCCGTTTCTAATTCAGAATGAAAGAATTTCTCGCACTTGTATACACTCATTCCTCTTTAAGTTCATTCCGGTCTTTGTGCGCATGCTCGTTTCCTTGCCCTTCTGGCGCGGTGACGTATATAGCGCACATAGCAACGGGCTGAGATAGAGCAGTCAGACTCGTTGCACTCACCGGTTTCCATTCACCAAAGCACGGTCTTCTATCTCCCTTCTTCGACCTTCTACCTCCCTTCTACTCCTCAACAGACAAAGCATTAGCAGAACAAGGTTGTTGTCGTACTGCTGCTTCAAGAATATAAGCACAGCAAGCCTGAAAAAGGCTCTAAGAACGCCGTCGTCAAGCATCTTGTTATCCGGAGCGAGGACTACAGTGTTTTCTTTCGGTAAACGTAAACACACAATTTCAGCCCCGTCCCCTATCCAATCAGAAACCTTCCCTGCCCCAAACCTCGCGTGGACCCGAATGAAGGCGATTAAACTGATCTCTCATGTAAACCATCATTCGGAATGAATATTTCCCATGTAAACTACCTGGAAAGACTTTAATTCCGAATGATTTTATTCCGATTTATTTAATTCCGAATGAGAAGCCATCATGTAACTGCACCCACTATCTTGATATAAACGGTGTTGTCTAAATTTATATCTTGCTCTAAAATAGATCGATATATCATACATTTATCGTACATTATATCGCCCAGCCCTAGTCACACTCCTACCATAAAATGAGACAAAAAAATTATGAAGCTGCTCACAAGAGTTTTGCAAATCTTGGGTTGCCATCCAGCCATCACCATCTCCTTCTGTCTTCTCTGCTTCTCTGGTTAGAGTTAAAATTTAAACTGTCCGAACCCAGCTGTATCCCATCTTGGCATCATCACACTTGTTCTTATATTTTGAGGCATTCTGTTAAAAGACAGCCAAACAACGGGGACAACAATATAACTTACTTAGATAATGATTCCTGAAGACATTAAACATCACAGTTTGACAGTGTTTTTACTGATCAGGTTCTAGTTATCAGTTCTCTCTGATATAGAAATCTGTGTCTCTGTCTCATGTATGTTTGTGAAAATGTTTTAAGTTGTCAACGTGCAGTTTAAAGCAAACATGAGGTAGTAAACGACAGGACATTGAACTCCTCTCATTGTCTTCGTCACTGCAGTGATTTCCTCGTGCCCGACTACCTGAGCCAGGTACAGGAAGAGGAGGAGGCGCTGGGAGTCCAGTATGAGCTAGAGGAGTCCCAACATCACCCCGTCTACCCGGGCAGCACCTCCACCTCCACCACCACTGCAGCCTCGTCCTCCTCCTCAGTCCAGATGCCCGTCATCTCCCAGGTCTCCTCCTCTACCCAGAATTGCGAGAGTTCCTCCGGCTTCCTTTCACCCGAGCCCCTGGACCCCCTGGAAGCCCCAGCCTCCCTCAAGATGGATGCCGACGAGAGGGCCGCCATGACAGAGGAGACCAAGATGGACACAAGTGTAGGAGGCAGTTCCCCGGAGGTGTTTGAAGAAGAGCAGCAGCATGCCCAGGCCAAGGAGCTGGCTTCCATTACCATCGAGTGATTCAAGCCTTCTACTTGCCCATCATGTCTTATTTTGCAGTCATGTCATATGGGAATATGTGTTGAGTCGCCCCAGCGGCTGTAAGGGACAACTCGGACGCGTGGACATGTTGAAACCTCATGTGAAGCCATCAAGACGCCAAGTTTTCTGAAGACTTCAGTTGCCTTGATGATGATTTTCCACATGCAACACAGATTGCACTTATTGATTTCTTGTTTTAGAACAAACCAAATCCAGCAAAGTAAATGATACGTTTCTTTGTTTTCTCTGAAATCATTTCCCCCGAAACTTGACTGAAGCAGTCTCTCTGTTGGTGCCGTGAGATTTCAGTAGGTTCACTCCAACACCAGACCTGAGTTTCAACGTGGTATTTTTCAAGTGAAGCTAGTGAACAGTATTTTTCAAGAGTCATTTTTAGGAAGGTTGTTATTTTTCCCATATGACGTGAACGCAGCACTATCTAAAGTCATTTCTGTCTTAGCCAATTTGAGGTCTGTTAAATCCAAGCCTTGCCCAACTTATGGAAAGTGCCTGAGAGTTCCCATTGTAACAAAGCAACGTGTAGAGGAAAAAGAGGTCTTGACTTTGCCAACAGTGACAAATCAAGTCTTTGCAAACTGAGCTAAATATAAAAAAAACAAACATTGTATTTCATTTGTAGTGATAATGCTAGTTTGTATGGGCAGAGACTGTGTTATTCCTTCAGTGCCGTCGCTATAGGCAAACTGTTAAATGTCAATATTATCTATATTGCAATAGCTTGTACTGTAGTTTTACTATTTGAATGCTGTGTATGTTGGGTGTTGTGAAATATGATATGTCTGGTGTGTGTATGTGCATTTCTTTTTATCTACATGAACACAGTACATTTCATTTTTTAAATGTTTAAAACTTGAAATTATATTGACAGAGTATTCCCTTAAGACGTTTGTGCAGTATATCATTTTTCTGACCTATTACAAGTGATTTTTTTTTTCTTCTAACTTTTTAAATGAACACTGTTGTTAAATCAAACCTCACATCTCCAAAAAAAACTAAACGCAAGGAGTTTAGTAAAACTTGGATCAGCACTGATGCAGCTTTGGTTTCAAAATCCAACCCAGTAGATTAGAAAATAAGACTGAAATTTATGTGACACACAAATTTGGAGCGTGGTGGTTTATTCAGGGTTCCCACGGTCATGGAAAACCATTTCACAATCTTACGTTCAAGGCCTGGAAAAGTCGGAATTCGTACAAAAGTCATTTAAAGTTTTGGAAAAAACTTTTGGAATTCAATTGTTTGTAATGAAATTAATTGTTACAATAGACAGGTGGATATTCTCATTTATCCAGGTCATAGGATAACATAGGTCATGTTTGTCTGACCAGGCTGGAATTAGTCTGACAAACTGGTGTGGAAACAACCCAGGTATATAACCTCTGGGGAGGTCTTCACAAGGCCAATGATGTCATTGGTTCGTTAGTGCTCCAATGGTGTGTCAGCGACGGTCGTTGAAACTCCTGCTGCAACAGTGGTCGTTGGAGTCGTTAGAGTCACATGAGGCTATTTGTGAACGACATGGTTGTTCACAAATGGCCTCATGTGGCTCTGACAACTCCAACGACCGTCGTTGACACACCATTGGAGCACTAACGAACCAATGACATTCCAGCCTAGTCAGACAAGCATGAACTGATGAAGAGGTGAAACGTCTTCTAAGAAAAAACTAAGTTCAGTTGCATTCGATTCAGTTGCCTTGAGATAACTGTTACAATAGGTTTCTGGGGATAACCTTCCACATTATGTAATATAATGGTGAATTTATTACATGTAAGTTAGCCGTGGGCATGACGTAGCTCTCGTTTCAGCATCAGCATTGCGATGTGGAATAGTCACATAGAAGGACATGTAACGTCAAGTAAGGCAAATTAACTTAAACAACTTAATTGATGCTTTATACAAATTGAAAACTAACAAGGTTCTCATTCTCCCTGACTCCAAACCTTCTGCTTTTAGACGTTACTTGTATATGTGACGTAGTGTGGTGGTGTTTGTCATGGGAAGTCCTTGAAAAGTCATGGAAAAGTCCTGAAATTGTGTCCATGAAAGCGTGTGTGAACCCTGAACATTCCCAAATGGGCTCTAAGATAATAATAATGTAGCATTTCATCCCAGTTGAACTTCGGCCTGTTTGTCAAACGGCTTTTATTTTCAGTTTTAACATCTGTTTGTGTTCTGAGTATTAATATGTGACATGGCTTTCAATTTTTTCAGTCGTCCTGGTTTACCAACAGGTACACTGCTTATACTCTAGGATATTGCATGACTGTTGAAGTGATGTTTTCACTTAGGTACAACATGATTGTCTTTTGAAAGTTTCATCCTCGTGTGACTTTGTGAGTGAAAAACCACGACGATTACGTTCTAGGTGTGGATTAAACCACCAGCATTCTGTTTGTTTTTTTGTTTTTAAACCTAAGTTGTCACAAAGGGGGAAAACTACATTGTGAAAAATTCCCTGATGAAAATGTAGAAAAAAAAGTAACTACGTCTGCGGCCGGGGAAGCAGGAAGTGATGCAAACAGATAATGATGGCTGTCTGTGATGGCCGGTTTACAGTCAGCACAGATGGTATGTGATAATGTTGCTTTAAAAGTAATAGGAGCGTGCTCGTGAGTGAATGCAAATACTGTGAGTTGAATCATTGTAAATGATAAATATATTGCGTTAGGCGAGAGCTTATCGTTCACCTTAACTGAGAGCACGGTTTGGTAGTTGACGTTATTAATTTAATTTCTTTTTTATGGGTCAAACTTCCAACTCCTGTTACCTGTGTTGTGCCAACATGGTTGTAATTGTCTACTTGGACATTGTCGTGCCTGTATTTTAGAAGATAATGACACCCATGGTCGTAACCCATGAGTTGAATGCTACTGACTGTGACTGGGTTTGTTGTTTTTTGATTTCCTGTCGCCCCCTGAAAGTCGTACAAAGAGCCAACATTGAGGACTATCCCAGCAGGATGTAGGACCTCACATACAGGGTTGATTGTAAATGTAACGATGAATACTGTTGTGACGAGGGCGTCCCGATCATTGAAATTCACTGAGAGCTGTCTTAATAAGAGCTTCGTCACCCTGCGCCATCCTATCAGTCACTTTTTCAAAGTTGTGCCATCTGCCCTTTTTATCTGGGTACAAATCATGCTTTTTCCTACAGGACCAAATGTTCTCTATCTCATTGGGGATTTGCCATGGCAATCAGTAATTGCACATAATAAAAGAAAGAGATAATCATTCTAAGTGGTCCATGCTATTTAGCAAAGGGGTCCTGCTGTTTTCGCCCCTTAAAACACTGTATGATGTTGTGCATTTAAGAGGCTAGCCTTAGTAAACGGACCTATTAACTCTAGTTGCACAATATCACAAATTTAAAAAAAACGTTTTTCTATTCTCCATTTGTACGTCATGCTTTTCATCTGTTGTGTTTGGTGTCTGTATTCAAACGACTTTTTTATAATGAAATGCTGCTGTTTGTCGAAACGCAAAAGTGCCCAAAATATTTTTGTGAACCAATGGTGTGCAATAAATGGACAGGTGTTGTTTTAAAAAAAGATTTCATTTTGTCTTTGGAATGGTGAATTATATATATATATATATATATTAAAAAAAAAATAAAAACAAGAAATAAAGAATGTATAATTTTGTTTTACTCAAATGTGACTGAAGGTGAATCAAATAGGCAAGGACCCCATTTGATCTGTGAAACAAGGAACAAAGCTTTGATATCAAACGACTGGTTCTATTCAGCTCCTTTCTGTTTGTTTTCGGAAGTTGCATGTTCATATCGTTCTGTGAAGTGGAGAGCATGTCTTCAGTTTCTGATGCATTCTGTCAAGGCCTTATTTGTCGATGACTCTTCATCCAGCGTAGCTTTGATCTGTTGTTCAGCATGCCCTCTTCTGTTCTGTACGTTCTCCCTTTTATGTGCAATGTTTTAAGATATCTTGATTATATACAAGACATGCCTTCTCAGTGTACACTTGATGTTGTATATGTTTTCCAGTCCTTATGGTTTATTTAAAAGTAGGAAAATGTAAGAAAAAAACACGGTAGCTCTTCATAATAGCATATATATTTTTGGTGACTTTTGTATTATGGTTGCTGTTTCATGGCATCTTTGGATATTCTTGTTAAATGTGAATAGAACAGCTTAGTTTGGGAGTTTGGGGGGCCTTGGTAGTCTTCACTTTGTGACTGTCTGCAGTGTGTGTACATATATAAATATACAGTATATACACTCATACTATGTTGCATATTCTTTATACTGTAGGCTACTTGATTACAACCTGCTTTGAGACAGATGTTGTATTTTGTGTCTTTGATACTGTATTTAAACTGTAGTTTGGAGAAACTGTACAAAAACATCCCAGATAGTAATGCAACCTGCACATTGTATAGGGAGAACTGACGTTTGTGGTGTTGAGTGTTTTAACTGGATCATATTCCACAGTTGGCTGTTCAAAACTGACAAGACCACTCTGTATTTTAGAGTTTATGGTTGTTCTGAATCTTTGCTAGTGTTCTGGCTTTGCAGTCCTGTTATTAAAGAGTCGTTTTTGTAAAAGTATAAAATGTAAATAAAAAAATTATGTCAGAATAAGTATAAAACCTGTCTGAAGCTGTTTTTTGTCACTGAAATATCAGTTAAGTTGAAGTACAAACACTCTGCGTTATCACAAAGCAAATGCTGTTTTTAAATGTGTACAAGTAAGTAAGTAAATCTTTATTTATGTAGCACCTTTCACAGCTGGAAGTCACAAAGTGCTTCACAATAAAAATACAGTTAAATAAACAAACGGCAAAAGATACAGTGCAACAGAAAAAACAATCTATATACATTCTATATAATTATTCACAATTGTCCAAATGCCTGCCTAAAAAGGTATGTCTTTAAGTGCACCTTAAACATATGGACAGAGGCTAAGGATCTCAGGTCCAAGGGCAGGGAATTCCAAAGCTTTGGGGCCACAGATTGAAAAGCTCGGTCACCTTGAGTTTTCAGCCTCGTCTGAGGTGCAACCAGGAGCCCCTGGTTAGAAGACCTCAGTGACCGGCTGGTGACATAAGGGTTGAGGAACTCGCAAATGTAAGCGGGGGCTACTCTGTGGAGGGCTCTGTATGTCAGGACCAGGACCTTGAATTGGAATCTAAAGTGAACAGGAAGCCAGTGCAGGGATGCCAGGATGGGGGTGATATGGCAAGACTTATGTGACCGAGTGAACAACCTGGCAGCAGCATTTTGGACAAGTTGTAAACGGTCCAGAGATGTTTTACTGAGGCAGGTGAACAGTGAATTGCAATAGTCAAGCTGGGATGAGAGAGGCAAACAAGAGGCAAACAAGGAAAAAGCTTGAGTTGCTGCAGTTTAATTATTTTATTAATATCCACTCATTGAAGTAGCTTAGTGCTTTATTAAAGCCCCTACAAGGAACTTTCATTCTGAGTTGATTTTGGTGACCCTGTGGACAAAAGCAGTAGTGTTTTGCCGGAATGAAGCCTACATTTCCCATGAGCTCTAACGCGTATTGTCGTAAAGACGCTTACCTGGCTCGCGCGCGTGTTTGTTTTGGGGATGAATGAAACAACAAGACAGGAAAACTTTGCCCCCTCTCCTATCGGGGATCCCAGCTCACCTCTACAGCGCCCCAGCTCCACCTCTCCAGCGTAAGTGCCACTGCCGCCTTCTCGGCACTCGCTGGACCCTGTCGACGCCTGGCTGGTACCTGTCGTCGGCCCTGATGAGGTGTTCCAGCCTGCTCTCCTCGTCCCCGCTGCCGCAGGGTGAATCTGCGCAACCTGCGGCCTCTGTGTGTGGCTCCCCGGACAGCTAATGCCATGGACCCGCCGGCTCCTGCCAGGATTGGGCTAGTAAACGCTAGATCGCTAGCGAACAAAACGTTTATCCTGAAGGATTTCCTGACTTCCCGAGGATTGGATTTTCTCTGTGTGACTGAGACGTGGCTGACTGTTGGTGAGTCCAGTGCTTTCACAGAACTTTTACCCGATGATTGCTGCTATTGTAACTCCCGCCGGACTTCGGGTCGAGGAGGAGGAATAGCGACTATTTATAAGAGTCACTATAAATGTAAGCAGCTAGGTAAGATGACGTGTGCCGTCTGAGTGCCATAAATAGTTTCGTCCTGGAAGAGACCTGGGGCGGACCCGGAGACAGTTTCCTAAAGGTATGGATATACACTATATAGAAATAGCTTATCTTCACACCAATGGTCTCATTTGCTGTTGTAGGTCACGCACAGACATCAGCAGAAACAAGAGACTTTTGCATATCCAGTTAAAAGTTCCTTGTAGCGGCTTAAAAAAAGAGCTGCTGAGCTACTTATAACTCCTGCTAACAGGACTCTGTTACAGTTTTTCTATGTTGGTATATGACCGGGATTTGCCGTTTGGCCATTTGATTCAAGACACTTTCTGTTGTGTTTCTCAAAGTCAAGGGTCCCTCCTTAGTAGGATGCGTCCTTCCAGGGAAGGAGCCTGCAGAGGCAAGGCAAGAGTCCTCCCTATCATTCAGTGAACACACATTAGAACAGGCTAACGAGTGTCCCCAGGTGTGTGTCATTAACCCTCAGTGGACTGAGGAGGTTTCAGGGTAATGTTGTCTCTAATGTTGTACAATTTGAACAAATGTAAGTAGTATTTTTTCAGGGAGAATATTTCTGGATTATACTTAAAAACAAACAAACAGGTAGGCTAATTAAACTTTGTGGCATTTAGCACTCCGTCCCTCCTGTAAATTATTAATTTAAACACTTTTATGTTTTATCTAAATTGACTTTGAGAAATACCCATTAACTGAAACTTTGCGTTAGTTCATGCAGGACACAGACATCATATGTCTCAGCTGTAATCAGCTGACAGCTAGCTAACTTACAGTGTGAGGGGCGTGGTCTTTCAAAAAATTTTGGAAGTCAGTTCTGGCCATATCTTATACATGGCACCTTAAAGACTGATAAAGGATTTCAAGGGTATTCTAGCTGTCACGCTGTGATAACAACATCTTAGCCCCAGAAGCTACGTAATGTGGAGTGAATTACATTTTAACAATGAGGAAAGTTGCTGATTAACGTACCTCACAAGTTGCAAAAATCTTGATACTGAACGTATACGAAAAATATTCACTGACAATGTTTTTGTTTGTTTTCTGCCAAAAATAGGCAATCTTGCAGTTCACTATCCACTTGTAGTGATTACAACATTATTTTTTTATTCTCAACATTTAACTGAAGTACACAATCTTTCCCTTACCTTAACTAAAGTGCTTTTGTGGCCTAAACCTAACCACAGAGAGAGACAGAGTCAGGACATGAACCTGGGATTCTGGTGTCACGTCTGCCAACCACCCGAACCACCTCTGTGTGTTTCAGTAACCCAAAGAAAGGTTGTCTCTGAACATAATCCAGCCAGTGATTAGGTTGTCACCGCAACGTTATTATGAATCAATTTAGTAATACACAAATGTGATTTCTGGGAGACAGGATTGCCAGGACGTTCCTAGAATCCATATATCTGACCATTCTTTGCTGGAGTTTGGCTCAACCTGCGCTCTCACAGATGTTCTGAGGATGTGTTCTGGCTCCTACAAGGAGTTAAAGTGCTAAAAACATCATTGTTTTGCTTTCGAGCATTCAGTGTTTTAAAGTTCTGCACTCCATGCAGGCGCCGGCCCAAGGCACTCAGAGTACATAGTGTAGCAGGGAGTCACATCTTGATTGCTCCTCATCATTATTTCTCATCTTGGAGTGTTTGTCATTTTGGAAGGTCAACACTAATATTCATTTTGGTTTTGGCTCAGAGATGGTTGTCTTCCTTTTTAAGTCCCAAGCACACGATGAGCAGTCTGATCTGCACTCATGCTCGGGTTGAATCCAGAGCTGCAGCAAAGCTTACCTTCAAATAAAGCTACGTTGCATTGTGCTGACAATGCCTCAGATGTCTATCTGCAATTCTATCCATGACAGACACAAGCTACAGCGTCATTCACATTCAGGCTGAAACCTAATAGACCTTTGATCATTGATTACTTTGATACTGGCAGAAAAGGTCAAGAATAAACCTCCACACTCACATTGTTGACATTGTCTCCACTGATCTGAGGTGTTCTGCTGCCAGGTCAGTCTTAGTCATTCATGTTAGTGACGCTGACGGTGAATGTGAGTGACGAAGATGCTTGGAATTTTGAGGAGTCAGGAGTTTGTAATTTCTACATTCATGCACTGTGCTCCAGTGGACACTCTTCAGCACATCAGTGTCTCAAAGCAGCTCAGACAACACGTTCTTACTCTCAGTGCAGGCCGTGGCACAGGCAGTATAGGCGAATGCCAAGTGCGCCGTCATCCACAGGGGGCGCCACAAATGGGGGAGGGAAAAAAATCAAATGTTAATAATCAAAATTATTACTTAAATTATTTTGAAGTAGTCTGGCTGAATCCAAATGTCTGTACTTCATGACACTTGTGGACTTGCAGACTTTCGGGGTATGTTCCCGAGACGTCTGGGAGTGCCGAGGGCTCCAAATCCACAATTCATCCAGTCCAAAGTGGACTTCTGGCAGATTCTCAGAGAGTCTGCAGACTTCAGCAGACTTCACTGATTTAATAACCCGCAATACAGATGTGACGCTGTGGGTTTTAAACGTATGACTGTGTGAAATAGTTACTGATAGTCAGGCCTATTAAAATGCTACCTGAATTGTGTGGGCCAGAAATAATATTCAACCACAGCATGATACAGAAATGTGGAGAAGTCTAGGCTGTAGAGGGACTAAAAAAGCATTTAGTGTAACAGATTGTTACTTGTCTGAAAAACAACACAACAAGGTCTTCTAATGTCTGTAATTTCTGTTTTTGAACGCATGATGACAGTAAATACGTCACACTACGTACAACTGAAGTCCACAAGGGCTCAGTCTGCAAGTCCAGAGGGTGGACATTTGATTCAGCCTCTGTCTCTGTGTGTTGCTGGGTGTTGACTGTTGATTCCCTCCTCCTGCCAATCCACCTGATCCTCTGCAGCTGATGTTCCCACTCACCTGTACCTCATCCACCAATCAATCCACCGCAGTATAAAACCCCTGCTCAGACCTCCAGACTCTGCCAGATTGTTCAGTCTCCTACGTGGTACAGATGTCAAAGCCTTCTTTCTGTGAATTTTGTTTTTTGGTTGCTTGCATTTTTGGGCATCAGCTAATTTGTTTTCTCTGTCTCAGATTCTCCACGCCAGCTCAAACCTGCCAGCACTATTTAGCATGTACAGCACTGTTTAGCCATCAATCCCTCTGCCTGCCCTGCTCTGCCCTACCTCACCCTCCTCAGCCAGACTCCTGATTGCCTCAGCCAAGCCTTCAGCCATCCAGCAACATTTCACAATAAACTGTCCTGAACCTCTCTCTGTGTCCAGGCTGTGCTTGCTTTTGGGTCCTAAATCGAACTGCCATAACAAGAGAGGCCTTTTTTTCCCTGCGTTCAAGTATTCAAACTCTATTGAGTAAAAATGAGTATTGGGTGAAGGTAATTTATAACGTTCTCGTGATGTGTTCAGTGTAATCTTGTAAAATGGTGCCAGGGAGAGGCTCACCTGGCAGCAAATGTGCC